AAAAAAAAAAAAAAAAAACTGGGTTTTTTGAGGGGTAGCACTGCAGATCAAATGTAGAGCCTCACGCTGAGCCACCCCATATGTTAAATACAGCACAGTTCTGGCCCACACATGAGGGATCTTATCCTGCTAAACTAAGGGGCACATGTAGGCAAGAAGGGCCAAAGAGCCCTGTTGTTCTGAGATTGGTCCATATGGTCAGACAGTTGACTTTAAAAAGCCTGGCTGCCTTGGTATGGTGACATAAGCCTATAGTCCCAGTACCTGGGAGGATGAGGCAGGAGGGTTGACAGTTTAAATCCCATTTGGGAAATTTATCAAGACCCTGTCTCAGAAAATTAAAAAGGGTTAAAGACATAGTTCAGTGCAAAGACCCTGGTACCAAAAGATGTCTGGCTAGTCACAGTTGTATATCTTCATACATTCATGTCTGTTTTCCTAGATAAACTTACTTTTCTCTTTGCTGAGACAAAATACCTGGCCCCCAAAGTTAAGGGAGGAGAGGTTTATTTGGCTCGCGTGTAGAGGTTGCAGTCCATAGTTGGCTGGCTCCAGGGCAGGGTGGTGCAGCAGACGGGCATTGCAAAGCAGAAGACAAGCAGCAGCAGCAGCTATATGCAACAAGCAACAGTAGCAGCTTCTTTCTGTCCCTTTGTATTCCCCTGCTGGTAGCACTCCCAGCTAGAGCTATGCCAAAGCAATCAGTGGACTGATTTAGTAATCACACACCCTTACTCCCAGGATCACACACTCTAGATCCCACCATCACTGAACAAGCCCCACTGATAACTGCATGAGGCTTTGGGAGCACACCTGGATATAAACCATAACATGAACCTTTTTAAAAGTACTTTCTTTTCCTTTAGAGACTCCCACCTTGACCCACGAGACCTTTAAAGCGCTGAAGCCAGGGCTTTCTGCTTATGCTGATGATGTGGAGAAGGTAAAGACCTCTGTTGCGCCCCCGGCACCCTTTCCCTGTGTGGTTAGGTAAAGCCCACTCTTTCCCTTTAGGTTTGGCAGGCAGAGGAAAGTAGTCCTGTGGTGCTGCTTGGGGCGCTGGGCCTGGAGCACGGCTGGAGTGTGGGGGGAGCAGGTCTGTTCCAGCCTGCTGGCCCCCACACGCAGGCCCCATACCACCAGAGGCTCAGCGTAGCTCAGAAGCACAAACACTGCAAACCTACAGCATATGTTACTTGAAAGCTTAGTTAATTTTTTCACTAGTCTTGTGGGTTTTGCATGATGTTCTTTCTTTTTTTATTTTTAACATGCTAGGGATGGAGCCTAGTACCTCGTGCATGCTGGGCAAGTGCTACATCACTGAGCTACACTCTTAGCCCCATAGTGTATTTTTAACTTTAGTTTTTTTGCTGTGGGTGCTTTGATTGAAGAAAGACTAAAAACCTAGGTAAAGTGAGAAGGTACTATATTCCGGAGGCTAGGAGTGCAGCCCAGAGATAGACCTTTTGCCTTATGTAGGTGAGACCATGAGTTCTATCCCAGGCACTGCAAAACTGTTGTTCAGAATCCACACTCTCCTGAGCCGTCTCCACTCCATGCTGGTGCTGACACTGACCTGTCCAGCCCAGGCGTCTCCAGCACCTAGCGGTGACATGGTTCCTCAGTGCAGTGCTCAAGGGGTGGAGTTCAGTATGGAACCCAAACTGCTGTTTACAGCAGCCTCATGAGATCAAGGAGTCCAGACCTGTCAGGCTTCCTGGGGGCGGGGGGGGAGGGGGTGACAGCAGGGCACTGTCACCCAAGAAGGCGAGAAAGATGCTGTAAAGGGTGGGCTCAGCCTCATGGCCCTAACTTGCCCTCACCCTGTGACATTCTATGCCCAGGGCTTCACATTAGCCTGGTCCCTCTGCCCTACACACTGTCCCTGTCCTCTTCTGATTTTAGAAGTGACAAGAAAATCATGTTATAAATCCAAAGGGCAGGAACCCCAGCGCTGAGGAGGCTGAGGCAGGAGGACCACTGCAAGTTTGAGGCCAGCCTGGGCTACAAAGTGAGTTCAAGGGCAGCCTGAACCACACAGTGAAACCCTGTCTCAAAAACAAAAAAAAAAAAGCTGAAGGACGGAGTAGCATTGTGACCCTAGGTGCTGGGTGTGACAGGCTCTGCTTTGCTGTCACAATGTCCGCAGAGTGCTCAAGGGATCCAGGAGCTGCTGGATGTTGCTAAGCAGGACATTCCGTTTGACTTATGGAAGGCCACCCCGCTGGTCCTCAAGGCCACAGCCGGCTTGCGCCTGTTACCTGGAGAGAAGGCTCAGAAGCTGCTGCAGAAGGTAGGCTCAGCACAGGGCTCCTGCACACCAGGCACCAGCCTTCAAAAGTGCTCATGCTTTGGAAGGGCAGCCTGCCCTGGGACTCGGTGGGGTTGAGCGCTGTGGGCACTGAGCTTCACTGGCTTCTGTCAGATGTTCATATGTGTCTGCCCTGGGCCAGGTGTGGTAGGCACGCCTGGGCACGCCTGTAATCCCAGCACTCGGGAGCCTGGGGCAGGATCACAAGTTTGAGGCTGGCCTGGGCTATATAGTGAGATTCTGTCTCAGAAAGAAAAACAGGCTTGGCTGCCCAGGAGGCCCCTCAGCCTTGGCTGCCACCCTGTGCTCCTCAGGGTCTGTGTGTCTCTCCTTGAGGCTCCCGCTCCACACCCCTGTGAAAGGATGGCCTGTCCCGTTTGTCTATCAGGGTCCCTCACTGGGGTGTGAGACTTGGGGTGGGGCAGAGGTACTGAAGTTTCTGGGTGCCGGAGCAAACTGGCAGTGTCCCTGGAGCGGCGCCCACCAGATCCCCAGTCTCGGCTCTGCTGTTCCGCTTCTCACCCTTTGTCTCACCTTCCAAAGCCAGGCAGCACTTTGGGAAGCAGCACAGCCCCCTTCCCCAGCCCACGCACTCCCCAGCACAGCCCAGGAGAGTCTCCTGGGTGGCGTGTTCCTGAGCTAGAGGAGGCTTGGACCGAGTGTGATGAGAGTGGGCATTGCCTCTGGGAGCAGGTGGCGTCCCAGTGTTCTGTTGCCTGGAAACCACTGGCCTCCCATTCCAGAGGGTGAAGACGTCTCTCTGCATGCAGGTGAAGGAGGTGTTTAAGGCATCACCTTTCCTGGTAGGGGACGACTGTGTTTCCATCATGAACGGAACTGACGAAGGTAGAGTGGCTGGAAGCACCTCCACGCGTGGCCCTGGAGACACCCCATGTGCTGCTGCTGCTGCTTGGAGTCCGTGCACAGGGCTCCCTCCTCAGTCGGATGTGGGTGATTGGGTTTGCAGCCCATTCCCAGTGCAGGTGTCCCAGGGCATCTTTCCAGCACCAGCATTAGAGACAGATTCTCATCTGGGCTCATGGTAAACCCAGCACAGATGGAGTTTCTGAAAATGTCACGCTTGGAGAGCACATACAACTCCAGCCGCTGCCGAGTTTAGAACATTGCAGCTGCATTGCTGATTCTGAGTCATCTAGGTTCCTCACTGACCCTGCTTTTAATTTCAACCTTAAGAGTAGGTTCTCTTCCTCTTCCAGAAGAGGACGCTGGGACAAAGAACTGTAGGGAGACACAACCTTGGGTGACAGGTTCAGGTTTTAGCGTGGCGTCTTCTAGAACAGTCGGGTGGAAGCCGTGGGATTGTGCCTGCCCAGCACTTCTCTGGGTGATCTGGAGGGTGGGGGTGGGGGAGGCCTGGAGGAAGAGGCGCACATCCTGGGGGCTGTGTGGACCCTCTCGGGTGCCAAGGACCCCCCTGCACCACTGTCTTGCAGGTGTCTCTGCGTGGATCACCGTCAACTTCCTGACAGGTGCGTGTCACTTGGCCCCACAGGTAACATCCTGCCACAGTCCTGGCGGGCTTCCTGTAGGACAGGGCCCTCGTGTCTGCAATTCTCAGGGCTCAGCACAGAGGAGGGCTCACAGGAGGACATGGAGGGGTCCCCTGCCTGGGCTGCTTCGCTCCTTCTCTCGTGTTGAGGACGCTCAGCTGTCCAGATACCCAGTGCAGATGCCTGTTAGAAACCAGCCAAAAGGAGCCCTTTTTCAAAGATTATTCTCAGCATGTGTCCCTTCACTGGAAGTAGGGAAAGGCTGCGTCTGATGTAGTATATAAGTGAGTTTCCTGGCAGGATCTGCCCTTCGCGGGGTGGAAAGAGATTGAGGGGGTAGGTGGGGAGCCTCTACCTCGATGCTTCTGGGGAGATGGAGACGGGAAGGCTGCGGCCTCAGTCCCACAAGCCACAGCCTCCTCCCCATTGCGCAGGGCCCGTCCATCATCTCAGCTGGTGTCATCCACATTAGAGCCATGGCTGATACCACCTGATCTTTTCCAGTAGACGTGGCACCTTTCCGCGAACATGTCTAAACAGTGGAGCAGCTTCTCTGCCTTGGTGTCCTGTCCATTGAAATTGGCTCTTCGCCTCCTCTGCCTTCCTGTCCTCCCTCTTCCCTAACACTGTTGTCTTCCCGCCGTCCAGGCAGCTTGCGAGGCCCGGGCAGGAGCAGCGTGGGCATGCTGGATCTGGGCGGCGGGTCCACTCAGATCACCTTCCTTCCGCGGGCCGAGGTAAGCAGCCCTGCCAGCCGTAGGGGCAGTCAATAGAGCATGGCGCCCATGGGTGGCTCCTGCCTGGGAAACAAACTGAAATGGAATCTGTCTGTAGTGGGACAATGAGCCAGATAATAACCAAGTGCCCTGCATGCTGGGAGGTGCCAGGAAGTCCTCACTGTCTGGGAGACAGAGCCCCAAAGAGCAGGAACGCTCCCTCCTCCTTGACCCTGGCTGAACCCTACCCAGGCTGGGTCAGTGCTGCCGGGGAGGGAGCAGTCTGGGTGCTTCATGTTCCCTGGCTGGCTCCTCAGTCTTCCACAGCAAGGGACTGAAAGCAAGCTCTGTAACTCTCTCTGTCTGAATGTCCTTGTTCTTCCAAATGACCCAGGACACGTAATCTGGTGTTTCCACAGGGCACCCTGGAGGCCTCCCCACCTGGCCACCTGACGTCCCTGCAGATGTTTAACAGGACCTATAGGCTGTATTCTCACAGGTTGGTTTCCAGGGTCGGGGAAGTCACAGCCCCCTGGCGCCCCTGCTCCAGCTTCCTTCACTGCCCACGTCGGGCCTAGCCAGGTCCTGGGATCCCCAACCACTACCTCACTCTGTTATACTTCGGAGGAGGCTTGGGAGAGATAGGGGAGCCCAGTGTGTGCAGGATGCTTCTGAGCTACCACCTGCCACGTGGCATCTTCAGTCCACTCCTCTTGTACCCCATGAAAACGGGTCCTGGCGGTGTCATAGCTCCTGCATGAGCTACTCAGTGAGGTCCCTTGATGCCTCAGAGACTCCTCGAAGGAGCAGGAAAGCTGTAGCAGCCTCCCTCCCGGGATGGGGCCACCTTACACAGTGGGCAGGGTCCAGCCATCCCTGGACCTCACCCAGGCGGACGTTGTCTCCACAGCTACCTGGGGCTGGGACTGATGTCGGCACGGCTGGCGATCCTGGGTGGAGTGGAAGGGAGACCTGGTGAGTGGAGTGTGCTGCTCAGGGCTCTGCCCACCTTTGGTGAGAGGGAGGAGCCACCTGCCCTCTGTCCCCACTCGCCATGGTGGGACTGATCCAGGAGAGATGTTTTCCTCTGTATGAGTTATGATCAAAATGTGAACATTTAATTTTTTTATTTTTTTGAGACAGTGTCTCACTAGTTCAGGCTAGCCTTGAACTCACTATGTAGTCCAGGCTAGCCTTGAACTTATGGTGATCCTCCTTCCTCAGCCTCCCGAATGCTGGGATCACAGGCATGCACCACCACTCCTGGCAACATTTAAATTTTAGATAAGTATTACATAAAGATGCAGTGCCTCTGATCCCCTTCGGAATACTCCCCTTTCCTTTGAACACACTTGTCCTGTTGTTCTTGCCACATTCTGAAGCAGCTCTAGAGTCCTCATTCCTGAGTGTCTTTATGAGGTGTGATCAAAAATACTGTGAGTGGTGCTGTCAGATGCTGTCCAATGGAAAGGCAGGCTCCTAAAAACATCCACGTTATTTACTGAAGTTAGCACCATGTGACTTCTGGCTCCTTCCAAAATCAAAATGACCATGAAAGCTAAACATTTGAATGGATTCAGGACATTGAAGCAACCCGGATGATGCAACTGAAGACACTCAAGAAAGAGGACTCCAGAGCTGCTGCAGAAAGTGGCAGGGGTGATGGGATAAATATGTTCAAAGCCGGGGGAGGATTCAGAGGGAGTTAGTGGCAATGTCTCTGTAGTATAATAAAAGTTTTTAATTGTATATATTTACCATCTTTTTTGATCACACCTTGTACATTCTAAGTTCTTTTAAAAAGAGTCATTAATGAAATCACTACCTAAACAGACTTTGAGAGTCCAAGTAACTGTGCAGTCATCCACTACCTTGGGAGCCATCTTGCATGCCAGTCAGCTGCCTGTCACTGTGACCGGATCTCTGAGCCATCAGCTTACAAAGAGGAAAGGCTCGTTTCAGTCCCTGGCTCCAGAGGTTTCTGCCCATGGCCTGTTGGCCCTGTTGCTTAGGGACTGTGGGTGGGCACCAGATGGCATGCAGCAGCTGGGAGGCAAGGCGAGGCAGGGCTCAGGCTTGTACTGTGCCCTCTGAGGGCATTGCCCAGTAATCGACTTCCTCCCACTGGCCTCACCTCCCAGTAGCACCACAGGCTGGGCACTAGGCCTTTTACACAGGCCTTCAAAGCACTTAAATTAACCATAGCAACCTAAAAACCTAGTCCTTCTGGCAGTAGGAGGGTTGTGATGTGGTAACCCTGAGAGCCCCCTCTGTCCTCACCTTCGCTCTGTGAAAGGTCACAGAGCAGGCCTAGCTTCTTCTGGGTGTAGATCTGAGGAGCCAGGAGTTCCCTGGAAGGCTGCCTCACCCCAGACCCTTGGTGCCCCCCATTGGACAGAAGCGTTGTGTGTGTCCCCCATGCCTGGCATGGCCGGCTTTCCTGTGGGCACTGTCAAGTCTGGACAGTGCATGTGAGGCACCCAGGGCCCAACACATCCCTGGCAGCCACTTGCCCTCTGGCCCTTCCAGGGCTAGCTCTGCTGCCACCGTGGGACCCCTCGCCTGGGACATCACACCTCTCACGCATTGCTCAGCTCCTTCAAGTCCTGGGGGCAGCTTCCTGCTGGCTCCTCAGTGTGAAGTAGGGGCGCGTCAGCAGGGAGAAGGAGGCACCTGCTCCTCCGTGCAGCTGTGATGCCCTAGCCTGGCCTCCACCCACTTCCAGTGCAGACCTGGCCAGAGAGGTCAGCAGCAACACTGGGGTGGGCAGGCAACCTGGGACACAGAGCCAGCTCTTCCCGCGCCAGCTGTGGTCCCCGCTTTGGTGCTCTAAGCAGCACGGGGTCAGTTTGTAGTACAGTGGCATCTGGTGGCACTCGACTGCCCCTGCCACCAATCTCTGGTTTCTCACGACCATGGCCATCTGAGAAGCTGGGTAATGATGCCCCCTTGGGGTCACCTCTAGGGACACGAGCTGTCAACTGTCACCTGGCAGTGTTTCCACACAGAGGAGGCTGTGGAGCCTCCAATAGTCCAGAGCTGGACTATCCTGAGTCAGGTCCCCTCTGTCACCAGCAGGAAATGTGTCCCCTTATGCCTGGTGCCTTTGTTCTCCATCACAGCCCCTCCCAGCTCCCGGAGGCCCCTGGCTGACAGTGGCGCCATGGTTTTCCTCCCCGCTTTCTTCCTTTCTTTCATCTTTTCTTTTTTTCAGCCAAGGACGGGAAGGAGTTGGTTAGCGCTTGTCTGTCTCCCGGGTTCAGAGGCGAGTGGGAGCATGCGGAAATAACGTACAGGATCTCAGGACAGAAGGCAGGTATGTGGGTTGCTGCCCATTTGTGGCCTGTGAGGGTTACACAGCAGCCCACCGGCCTCATGCCTGTCCACACACCTGTCAGGCAGTGACAGCAGACAGGCCCACACCTGCTGGTCAGGTGCTGCTGCCCGCACCTCCCTCCATGTGCCATGGGCTTCTGCAGGGCAGCCCTGAGCACCTGGCACTGCAGGGCCCATAACCACGGCTGAGCTGCAGCAGGAAGGGCACCACTACTCCTGTACAGCTGCTGCCTGGGCCCTGCCCAGACGTCCCTCTGGATTCCTCCCTAGAGGAGGATCAAAGTGTCATGCCCAGGCTGGAAATGGCCTGGCTGTGTCCACCTCCAGGGACCAGGCGGCTCCCTGTGACCAGGGGTCTTGGTGGGACAGCAGCCCATGGGAGAAGGTGCAGGGAGGTCCCTGCGGGACTGAGGTGTCACCCTGGAGGAGGGAACCTGGGGGTGATGACTGTGGCCAGGCATCGATGGCAGAGCCAGGTGCCCAGGGTCCCCCGGGGCCAGAGCAGCCCATGCCAGGCCCTGCGGCAGTAGGAGGTGGTGCCAGGATCCCACCAGGTAGCACTAGCCTGGGCAGCACTGGAAGGGCGAGAATGGCAGACCAGGCAGAGTCACTCACAGGTGTCCACAGCAGTGACCTGGTCGCTGCAGTTTGCTAACCTCCGGGCCTGTGTCTGGGCTTCAGCCACATGGTGGCCTTTGTGACCCAGGAGAAAGCAGTGCCCCCATTGGGGTGGCAGCTGTCGTCTGCCTCTGTGGGCAGTGGGTCTGTGGCACTGGTCCACCTGTGTCAGGCGCTTGCCCCCCTCCTGCAGGGCGTCTCCATGAGCCTTGTGCCAGCAGGGTGTCTGAAGTCCTCCGAAACAAGGTGCACAGGGCAGAAGAGGCAGGACACGTGGACTTCTATGCCTTCTCCTACTACTATGACCTGGCGGCCAGTGTGGGTCTCATCGGTGAGAGTGGCTGGTGGGGCCCAAGCCAGGGCTGTGGTGGACAAGCGACATGCAAGTGGTGGGGGTAGAGGCAGGTGCCCCCATATCAGAGCACTGAGGCACCTTTCTAGAGACACATTAGCTCCCGGCGCCACTTGGCAGTGCCATGTCCCTGAGGTGTAGATAGTCATTTAGGGCTGACTCCTTCCCACTGGAAGGCAGGTCTGGCTCAGCCGACCCAGGCACCCCCATCCAGGACTCCCACTGCCCACCCTCCTCAGCACAGGAGCCAGGCCTGGTGGAGAGGCCTGGGGTTCCGGGCTGTATGGCACTGTTGGAGAGTTGCTGGCATTTTAGGCGTGGAGACTGGGATCTTTTCAGTAAGTTGAGAATATCAGAAACCATTGCTGGCTGTGAGGATAGGAGTGCTGATGCTTTGAATAAAACCTGGAGGAGAAAGGTGTGCACCCCGCTACACGGCCACGCTGGCCATGGCCACCGTGCGGGGCCACCTGGGCCTGGCTGGGCTTGGGTTAGCACAGCCTGCCGGGCCTGCTGTCCCCCCCAGGGGTGGCTCTAGAGACCAGCTGTTCAGAAAAGCCACTGCAGCTGCCTGCCAGAGTTGTGCTGCCTGCTCCAAAAGAGCAGCATGGGCCAGGTGCCCTCCTGGGACAGCCACCCACCTGCTCTTAACACATGGCAGGTCAGATGGCTCCCACTTTATTTCAGAATGTTTTTCTCCACAGTTGAGAAATACTAGCCAAGCCAGGTGTGGTGACACACATCTATAATCCCAGCACTTGCGAAGCTGAAGCAGCAGGATCACTGTGAGTTCAAGGCCAAGACCCGGAATACAAAAAAAAAAAAAAAAAAAGAACACTAGCCAGGTGTGTTGGTGCACACCAATAGTCCCAGCTTCTCTGCAGGCTGAGGTAGGAGGGTCATGAGTTAGAGACCGCCTGGGAAACTTAACAAGATCATGTCTCAGAAAAACACAAACAAGTAAGTAAAAGTTCAGTGAAAAGGGCTGGAGCTGTGGCTCAGTGCCCGAGCACTTGTCTAGCTTATACAAGGCCCAAGGTTCAACCCCTAGCACTGCAGGACAAAGAAATGGTACTCAGGACCGGGGTCCTGCTCAGTATTTGTCTGGCACCGGGCCCTGGTTGATCCCCAGCGCCACAAGGAGGAGCAGCTGTGTCTGCCTGGCAAGCAGCCCCAGCTGGAGGCCACACAGACCATGGCTGCATCTTGTGTCTCGTCCCACAGATGCGGAGAAGGGAGGCAGCGTCACAGTCGAGGACTTCGAGATCGCAGCTAAGTACAGTGAGTGAGGTGTGGGTTCCGTGGCCAGGGTCACCCACAGGGCTGTGACAGGCACTGGCCCAATGCTGTCACCAAGAGGAGTGAGTAGAGGTATGCAGGGGTGCAGTGAGAGTGCTCAGGGTCTCTGAGGGCACACCCAGTCTGCCCACCAGGGTGTGGTGCACTTCCTGTGCTGGTTCCTCACATCTGGGTGCCCAAGAGTGACTTCCTGAGATGTCCCAGCACATTCATGATGAGGAGAGGAGGTGGGGCCTGCATGCAGAGCCCGGGCTGTGGGTGACATGCTAGGCACCATGTTGTGCCGGTTCGCCTGGTATCCCTCACCCACCCCGACGTGGCCAGTCTCACCCGCAGTCCACCCAGGTGCTGCTCCAGTCAGAGCCTTAGGCTGTGCTTCCTCCTCCACCAGCAGTGAGGCCTCCTGCTGCGTCGCAGGAGGGCCTTCCTTAAACTCTCACATGTGCGTCCAGCCTAGGACCCCAGGTGTCCGTCCGTGGCTTTGCCCCTCTGCTGCAGCAGGCAGGCAGCTGGAGAAGGCAGGTCACAGTGGGTGTGGCCTGAGGGATGTGGCCCTCCACTGAGCAAGACAGGTGTGCAGGCCTCTGGGTCCTGGGAGAGGGAGGATCCAGGCCAGTACCCAAGGCTGGGTGTTGGGTCTGAGAACTGACTGGGAGTGGTGTCCCCAGTGTGCCGGACCCTGGGTGCCCAACCGCACCGCAGCCCTTTCCTCTGCATGGACCTCACCTATGTCAGCCTGCTGCTCCGCGAGCTCGGCTTCCGCGGGGACAAAGTGCTGAAGGTAGGGCCGCCTCGGGGCTCAGTGTCCTGCCTGTAGGGTGGAGCACGGGAAAATGGGCCCTGGTGACCCCATCCTTGCAGCCCTGAGCTGCTCCCGCAACTTGGCCAGGCCTGGCCTCCCTTCCAGAGTATGACAGTCCTCTCCAACCCTCACCTTTGTCTTCCCAAGCTGACTCGGAAAATTGACAATGTGGAGACCAGCTGGGCTCTAGGGGCCATTTTCCACTACATCGACTCCCTGAACAGACGGAAGAGTACAGCCTGGTAGCAGCTGGGTCCCGGCCAGCCCCAAGCAGCGTTCCAGGCCATCCGACAGACCCTTCGTCTGGACCTGACCCCATCCGGCAGGAGCCCTGCTGCCGAAGTCCCTCTGCACATCTGCCACAGCACAGAAGGTGGGCTGCTGGGCACCCGCCTCAGAGGGCAGGCCTGGGCCGTGGCTCCGGGTGGACATGAGCCATGTGTGGCCAAGGGCACTTGCCGTTCCCATCCCCAGCTGTGGGGCTGTGGCTGCCGCGTGTGTCCCTGTGTGTGAATCTTTCACCCCTGAGTCTTGTTGACTTACCTGAGGGCTTCCCGATTCCCTGGGGGAGCAGAGCAGGACCCTGGGCCTTCTGACCGCATCTCCAGTGAGGTTCTCCCCATGCTGGAAAGGTGAAGCCACCCAGAGATGTGGGGCTGATCGGTGGGGGACACTGAGTAGGCGACCCTTCTCTGTGAAGCTATACCAGCTGCAGAGTCCCCAGAAAATGGGTGAGGGCGGACTTACATAGGAGCAGTGCCAGCCATGCTGCCTGAGTCCCAGGTGCTGTGTGAGCCACATCCATGGCCCTTTCTGACACCCGCACCATGTCTCCATGAATGTACTGCGCGGGAGCCATGTGGGATGGTGTGCGCCCCATGCTGGCCCTGGCCGCAGCCTTCCAGATCCAACGAGGCTCCCTCAGTGAATGTACAGCTCTGCTCTGCGCTCTGCCGTGAATAAAGGTTCAGAGCTCCTCCCAGAGTCTTGGGTGAGTGACTGCATTCATCCTCTCACTAAAGTTTAGGACCTGCCAGACGGGTCTCAGGTGGGGGCAGTGGCTCTTGATACTACAACAGGCCACTTGGAGGCCTGGCCAGGGTCCCCTCTCAGGACCCACCACACAGCCGGGGAAGGCCCTGGGCGTGTCGCTTCCAGCCAGTGAGCATCGCCACAGCAGGCCGCCTAGACCAGCAGGGGCTGGCTTCCATCAGCTGCAGTCCCTGAGTCATGGGCAGAGCCCCGTCCCGCAGAGGGTCAGTGCTGCAGCCTGCTGTGCACCTTCAGGAGCAAACCTGGGGTCAGTGCGCGACACAGGCTTGGAAAGAAAGCAGGAAAGATGCTCCCCCAAGCAGAAGTCTGCCCAGGAACACAGCCAAGAAGCTTCCACTGAGGAGGCTACAAGTATCCTCCCTGGCACTGCATGCCATCGCCCTGCCAGGGTCCCCACCAGCCCCTGTCCCTCCGCCAGACCAATTGTCCTAACCGTTCAGAGAACTCCAGAGGCAGAGCATCAAAGATGCATGAAGTAGGAAAAGTGAGGATTGATTTGATCCATTTAAAGTTTGGTGACCTCACATCTAAACAAGTAAGCAATGGAAGCTTCCCAAATGAGAACCAAATAAGTCATGGAATATTTTCTGGCCCAGCATAATATGCAAGCCATTTCACTCTGAGTGCCTCTGATAATAAAGGAGGGTTTTGCTTTTAAAAATAGGTCTGCATGTGGTCACAGCACACTGTCAAAAGCCAGTTGGGAGAGCAGGGACCATGCCCCTTCGGGGTCTATGCAGCCAGGGCTGCCTGGTGCACCCCGCCTGGCCCTGTGGACTGGGTGGGAGGCATTCTAGCTGCAGACCCCAGCCCCCCAGCCAGTGCCCTCCCCGTCCCGGCACAGCACCTACACAGTGCCCCCAGCAGCTGGTGACGGTAGTTTTTGTCGGCAGTGATCTAATCTGTCTTATACCACCCGAGAGCCAATTATGTTTCCTTCTGTGAAACATCTGCTCACATCTCTTCCCGATTTTTCTGTAGGATTGTGGTCATTTACTGATTTTAGAAGATCCTTATTTATTTGGGACACAATAGATGCAAGGCTTTTTTCTTAACTTTTTATGTTTTAATATATAACTACTATGTTACTTAAATTGATCAAATTTATATTTTCATACACACTTTGTTACTTCCAAGTTTGTGTCATGATCAGACTTTCTCATCGAGACAGTTTTAAAAACTAATCAGGGCTGGGGCGTAGCTCAGTGGTAGAACATTTGCTTATCACATATGTGTGCGCGTGTGCATAGGAACACACACACAAACTTAATAGGTTTTAGTTTTACATTAACTCCAGGCACTTGCTCTTGGATATCCTGAGGCACACAAAATTCTGTCAGGATGCATTTGGTTTTTAGAACCAGTTGGGCGTCAGTAGAGGCACGGGTGATGTTTGCACTGGGATGATACCATTTTGGGTAAACTCAGGGCCAATGGTACGCAACTCCAGAAAGGGATTTGCGAGAAGCATACTTATGTGCAGTTCCTGGTAGAGTTGTGTTTATGGGACCCGTGTGGAGACCCTGAAAGGAGGAACGTTTGAAACAACTGCCGCTGATTGCTCTAAGGAAAGCTGCTTTTAGTGGACAGAAAGTTGACAGTTCACCCCTGCACACTTGCTGGACCCTGGCCTCCGCGTCTCTGTCAAGGGACCCTGCAGGCAGCCCCGTCAGGATGGGGTCCGCCCAACATCTCTTCACTCTTGTACGTTCTTGGATCCGTCTTGAAAATCGAGGACAGGTGACCGAGTGAGCGGGAGATGGTAGCAACACAAGCCAGAAAGGATTGCCTGAAAGTAAGTTAGGAGCTGCATCAATTCCACCAGCTTCATCAGGCCAAGGATTCAGGGTCGGGTCACCTGGGTGCCCGCACAAGGTCACAGACCAGGCAGAGCTCTGGGATCCAGCAGAGCTAAGGTGAAGAACAGCCAGAGCACCTGGCCTGGGAGCCTCATGATGCGTTCACCAGGTGGTCTGATGAGATGACAAGGCCGTGTGGCCCTGTGTCACCCGCTGAAGGACATCCTTCCTTTGCTATGATCCAGGTGTGGGAGTTGTGTCATTGGTCTGTGTGTCTGTGACAGCAGCCTGGTTTCCTGATGTCACTTAGATTCGCTCGACACCCATTGTCCTTGATTTAATTTGATTAATTTGCAGGGGGCAGTGTTACAGTGGCAGAGCTAATTCATGTCAGCGTGTGCCTCGTGGCTGAGCTGGGAGCTGGGAATTGTTTTCTGGGTGAGGCCTGTGTGCCGACATCCAGTGGTTCTTGGCTTGCACACAGGCCGCCCAGTCCTTCTCCCCCAGCAGCTTTGTAAGAGAGAGACGTTAAGGGCAGGGTCCAGCCCGGAAGCTGTGGCTCCAAACAACATGATTTTCTCAGGGTGTGGCGCAGCCTGCTCTACACTGGTGACTTAGTCCATCTCATGCAGCTGTAACAGAAACCCTGCCAGGCAGGGTGGTGCACATCTGTAATCCTAGAACACACAAGGATCCCAGCAAGTTTGAGGCCAGCCTGGGAAACATAGTGCATCTGAGCCCAACCTGAAGTGCATAGTGAGACCCTGTCTCAACCTGCGCCCCCACACACACAGAAAAAACTTGAGCCTGAATAATTGACACTGAACGATGTAATTTATTGGCTGTCAGTTCTGGAGCCTGGGAACCCGAGGAGTCCTGTGGTGGCATCTGGTGAGGGCGTCTGTCCTGTACCCACAGCACAAGGCAGAAGAGCAAGAGGGGCCAAAGCCACTTCAACCCCGCTTTCCCATCAGCTGCCCCCACCCCCAGAGAATGACCTTCCCCACTCACGGGGGGACCCAGGCACCACGCGTGAGGCTGCAGCTCCCAAGAACACAGTTGCATGAGGGTTCTTTCTCCAGCACGGGAACTCGGGGACACATTCACATCAGAGCCAGGTGGGCATGCTTAGAAACCCCTTCTCCAGTTTTAAGTTAATTGTCAGCGGCTTGCCCAGACTGAGAGCTTACTGTGTGCGAGTGTGACCTGGCTGTGCTCCGTGTGGGCCGCGATTGAGTCCGGCGGGGCTGACGGGTGAAGAGATGGCTGCACTCGCGTGGGCCCTGGGGTGAAAGGCCTTTCCTGGTCATGTCAGGGCAACTGCAGTCATCACCAGGGTGGCAGCATGCACTGCGGTCAGGAGAAAGGACAGCCGGCCCGGGCCTCACCATCCCTTTATCTTTCCCACAGCCTGGGTTCTTCTCCCTGGTATTGATCGAGTGGAAAGAGGTTTCCATTTAGAGTCCAAGTGCAGCCTTGTAAATCTTGCTGTCAGCTGTGCGACTGTGTGGTTCAGAAGGACTTGTTCCCCTATAAGGCATCTGTCTGGGAAGCCTCTCGCAAGGGCAGAGCAGTTCCTGGCAGTTTGCTTTTTGTGTGTGTGTTGCTGGGGCTGGAAGCCAGGGTCCCCCACACGCAAGCAAGTGCCAGAGCCGAGCTTCTGGGGCACAGAGCATAGGGTGGGATGCTTGAAACTGCATCTGCCAGGTAGGTGGTGTGGCTCCTCCAGACCCCGGGACCAGCAGAGGACCAAGTGGCTTGGCAAATAAAACATCCAAGCTCAGAAGCCTGCAAGGACTTGTTAGAGGATGGGAGACGTGGGGATATAGGCCAGGGTTTTCCATTTTCTGTGGGTTAGGACATTTAAAGGAATTGTTTTCAGTTTTTGTTCTGTCTTGCCAACAACCAGAGCTGTACTCCCAGGGCCCAGAGGATTTCATACTGCCTCCACACACTGAGTATTATTTAGCCTTAACAAGGATGAGGTTCCGGAGCTGAAGATGCAGCTCAGTGGTGGAGCGTGCGCTTAGCGCGCGCATGGCCCTGGCTTCCACCCCAGTACTACGAGGTACATGCAGTATGATTCTGAGACGGACCCCCATGGTGGACAAGGCTGGATAACAACAAAATAAAGTCCTGATGCAGTAAACTCCTACCCTTCGTGACGTGGTGTGTTGCTGTTTTCAACAGGCTTAAAGGGACCCTGGTAAAGCCAAGTGAGCAGGATGTGTGCACAAAATGAGAAGTTGTTACCAAGGAAGAGCCAAAAAAGTGCCCTAGCCTCACTTGCTCCTCGCACAATTAAAAAGCACAGATTTTGGAGTCCACACAGCTGGGTGAATCAGTGTTAGTTTGCCTCTGGCTTTGCTGACGTGTGGGTTATGATAACAGGGCCTGGCTTCTTCCCCAGGGATGGAAGGCTGCTCTCGATAAAGCACTGACTCCTTACAGGACCTGCCAATGTCTAATGGTGGCAAGTGGACTAAAATCTTGGCATCCCTGTATTCATGTTGTATCTGTCCCCTCTGCCAGTGTAACCCCTGGGTCAGAGTCTACTCGGCTCTGCATGTAGGTATGTTGATCATTTAAAAAACATTTAGTCCATGTGGTGGCACACACCTGTAATCCCAGCACTCAGGAGGCTGAGGCAAGAGGATCATTGAGAGTTCAAGGCCAGCCTGGGCTACAAAGTGAGCTCAAGGCCAACCTCAACTGCATAGCGAGACCCTGTCTCAAAAAGAAAAAAAAAAAAACCAACATTTAGGGGCTGGGAATTTAGCTCAGCAGCACAGCGCCTGCCTGGCAAGCGCAAGGTCGTGAGTTCGATTCCCAGTACCAGAAAAAAAAACAAAACAACAAATACAAACAAAAAACAACATTTAGTCCATTCAGCATGGTGACACACCTCTGCAGTCCCAGTATTCAGAAGGAGGAGGCAGGAGGATTGCTATGAGTTTGAGGCCAGTCAGAACTACATTGTGAGTTCAAGGCCAGCCTGCATAGTGAGACCCTACCTCAAAAAACTAAAATCAAACAAACAAAACCATTTTATTTCAGACTGATCTGACTTTGCTTGGTCTGCTGCCTTAGGGACCTAGTGTGTGTTTTCCTTTCTCTCTCCCCTCTTTTCTACCCCACCCTGCGCTTGCTCAGCAGCGGCATTTGCCCGAGCACCCAAGGGCCCAGTCCCACCAGGCATTTTAGGCAGGATAGTGGTGCTACCACAGAACATGGGGCCTGGCAAAGCTGGTGGAGAAGTGGGTAAAGTTACAAGGTCCCAAGACAATGCCAGGACCCTGTATGTAGAACTTCTTCCAAGTGCCCATGCAATGTGAACAACATACAGAACACAGATACCACAAGAGCCTGCTATCGTGACTTCCCACAACAGCCCACGCTGTGCTTCCCAGACACAGTGGTACTTTTATTTTTGCTTTTATCTTTTTTTCCCTCTTGTTCTGCCCAAGTTTATTCTGCAGAGTTGGTTTCTCCCATAACCTGTCACCCGTCACTTTTTTTTTTTTTTTTTTTGAGAGAGAGTCTCTCTGTATTTCAGGCTAGCAATGAACTCACTATGTGGCACAGGCTGGCCTTGAACTCACAGTGATCCTCCTGCCTCAGCCTCCTGAGTGCTGGGATTACAGGTGTGTGCCACCATGCAAAGCCCCCCTCACTTTTCAAAAAAACTTTTGGCACCATTTTTCACTTGTCTAGTCCAATTCTTTGAGGCAAGAAGAACGAGCCATTTCTAAAGAAGCTACCTGATAACAGTACCAGATCCATGGAAATTCAGCAGCCTCTCAGACAGGTTGACCGTGTCCAAATCTGTCACACATCTTTGGGAACCGTCCCCTGGTTCCCAAATGTTAGCCTGTCTGAGCCAGTCAGTCAAAACTTGCTGCTCTCTTGTTCTGGGAGAAGCGTTGCCCCTTTTGAGATGAGGGGAATAGCAGGATTTTTTGTTTTGTTTTGTTTTGTGTTTTGTTTTTTGTTTTTCTCTGGTACCGGGAACCGAACTCACAACCTTGCGCTTGCCAGGCAGGTGCTTTGCCGCTGAGCTAAATCCCCAGCCCCGGGAATAGCAGTATTTAAAATGGCAGCCTGAGAAAGAACAGAAGCAGCCTCAGCTTAGCAAGGAGAGGGGAGTAAATGGGCAGTCAATGAACTGAGAAGCGAAGGCGCAGCTGGGGCCTCAAGCAAAAGAGGTGGGATGGGGTGAACTGGATGAGAAGGTGAAGCCAAGATGGCAACGGATCTGCCCTTAAACTTCATTATACTTCTTTACAATGCATTTCCCTAACTGTCTCTGCCCAGAGCGGGCTGACACATTGCTGAGCACCTTTATAAAGTCTGGTCCCTTTGGAGATAAAACCTGTGAATAATCAGTGATTTTCTTTGGGGACGCCACCGGAGTGGGAGGGACCTTTGCTAGGTGCCTCTCTATCTGTGTAGAAGCCACAGGCCTGCCTGCCCCCGCCCTGTGGAGCAGTCGGCTTTGTTTTCTATAACAAACTTCCCAATCGCTGCTGCTCCCTGTACGCACCCAGTGTTGCCTGGGTTTTCATGGCATCATCACTGAAGCAGAAGCCATGCCAGAGGTGACACTGTCTCAGCTGCTGCTGACTCCCGGGAGCTGCAGCAAGAATGTGTGCTTGCAGTATTTGACTCAGCCTCATTTCTACCACATCTGGGAAAGATGTCACTGTCCAGTGTCAGGTCCACTCATGTGAACTGTCGGACTTCTCCAACTCTGTCCAGGGTGAACAGATCCCCCGAACTAGGTGCCCGCAGATGTATAAGAAAAGTAAGAAAAACATCAAACCACCAGAGCCAAAATTCTGTGATCAGGTGCTGGCAGTCTCTAGGACTGACTGCCCCCAAATCCCACAGTCACCTTTTATTGAGCAAGAACCAAGGACTTGGCTAGGACAAATGGGCAGATACCAAACATTTTAGCAAGAATAATTAAAGGATCACCCAAGACATACCTATAATCCCGGCATTCAGGAGGCTGAGACAGGAGGATCTTAAACTCAAGGTTAATCCAGAATATATAATAAAGCCTTATCTTAAGAAACTCTAACAAACAAATCATTGTGTCCTCAATGCATTCTAATCAAATAATGTCCTTCTGCTCAGTGAATTGTCCAGACGAGCAGATGCACAGGGGCAGGACGATGTGGCGGGACAGTGGAGAGGCAGGGGCAGCGTTTGGGGTGACGATGAAAGAGAGGTTCTACATTTACAGTGGGCTGGTGGCTGCACAACCCTGTAAATACAGCAGAAAGCATTGAATTGTGCCCTATGTGAGAGGCACTTTGTGCTGTGTAGATTTTATCTCAGTAAAGCGGTTTGAAAATGAAGACTTGGAGCTAGAGATATAGCTCAGGGCAGAGCACTTTCCCAGTCTGCAAAGGGCTCTGGGCACCAGAAATTAAAACAAGTCTATAGTCTGCAGGTTTCCCTTAACCCATTTTCCCCTTTGTCCTCCTTGGAGGGCAAGCAGGCCCTTCCTGTCCTCTCAGCCCCTGGACTCTTTCGGTCTCATTGTGTCTGACCCGGGACTGCAGGAGCCAGCCAGGCCTCCTCTTCCTTGGGGGAACCCTGGGGCCCAGCAGGCCCCTCCCCTGCCTGTGGAGCATGGGGATCACTGATCATACAGTGTAGGTGTTCCCTGCCCCCACCCACCAGCAGGCACCCATGGGCCTCCTCTGTTTTTTCTGGGGCTCCGCCCAAACCAAACAGTGTGGATCACTGTCGCAGAGCAACAGGCTTTGGCAAGAAGTCCTGCCCATTCTCCCGTGGGCAGCCTGCTGGGCTCAAAGCCTTCGCTGGACCTCCTCCCACAGCGACTCCCAGTCCTTACTCCAAACAGACTGAATTTTTTGTAAAGAACATTTTTCATCAAGATATTTTCATATAGTAATGTACACAGCTCCTAAGTGTCCTGTTTAAACCATGCTGGCAAATATACAGACCTAAAAGATTTTTTAAATTGAAAAAGAAGAAGAGCCAGGCATGATGGCACAAGCCTATGATTCCAGCACTTGGGATCCTGAGGCAGAAGGATCAAAGAAAAAAGAAAAAGGAATGCATTGTTGGAGGTGCCCTTTATCATAGGTGATCTAAGATGTTTGCCTAAAACGTACTCACTCCCTTTGCTGCCTGTTTTTTCTTCTTCTTTTTTTTTTTTTTTTTTTTTTTTTTTTATTGAGACAAGGTCCCATTATGTAGCTCAGGCTGGCCTGGAACTTGCAACAATCTTCCTGTCTCAGGTTCCTGAGTGCTGGGATCACAGGCGTGCACCACCACGCCTGGCCAAAGTGTTGCTCTCTGTTGGGTGTTTCCTTTGGGGTAGAATTGTGGGGTGGGGGAGGTGTGTTCAACTTTAGTGAATACTGCTCACTTCCCAGGTGCTTGTACTAAGTTGTAAGGACTCAGTTGATGTGGAAACTAAAGAGGCTGAGGTGCCTACCGGGTCAGAGAACCCCCCCAGTGATGTTGGCTGCAGCCGAGGGGTTCAGGCCATTCTGCAGACGTCCCAGAAACCCCAGATACGTTTTTTGTTTTGTTTTGTTTTGTTTTTGCGGTGCCGGGGATCGAACTCATGACCTTGCGCTTGCCAGGCAGGCGCTTATGCTGCTGAGCTATATCCCCAGCCCAACCCCAGATAGCTGGTCACATCCGGCAGTACTGGGTTGGAATCTATAGCGTGTACTGTAGGATTTGGATTTGAAAGGTAATGATCTATAATTCCAGTATCGGAAGGCTGAGGCAGGAGGATCCCCAGGAGTTCAAGGCCAGCTTGGGCTACATACTGAGACCATGTCTCAAAAAAAAAGGCAGGACGATCAACATTACCTAAGAGGTTATGCTTGTAATCTTATTGGTTGATTACAGTTTTCACCCACGTTGTGCCCACCTCCTGATTTTGCACTATAAAACTTCTATAAAGTGAGGTCCGTGGCAACCCACTCCGGCCCCTCCTGTCTCTCAGGAGCTGTCTCTCTCAATATATTTGTCCTACTCTTAACCTCCGCTCCTTAAAATTCATTGTTCGATTTTGAGGAACGCAAATTCGGAGTACCTGACATGAGGCTGGAGTCTGTCACAGTTCTCTATGGTTTTGTTTATTTTTTGAGGCAGGGTCTGCCCGCAGTTCAGGCTGGCTCCAATCCTCTTTGGGCCCCGGCCCAGCCCCTCAGAGGCCCCGCCCCTCAGAGACCCCGCCCCCTCTCGCGCCCCGCCCCCGCCCTCTCACCGCGCAGGCGCGCCCTGAGCCGGCCCCTCCGCAGTAGGTGAGGCGCAGCAGCATCCCGGCCGGCAGTCCCGCGCTCGCGCTCCCAGGGCCTCCTCTCCGACCGGCACGATGGCGAAGCCGCTGACAGACAGCGAGAGACGGAAGCAGATCAGCGTGCGCGGCCTGGCCGGGCTGGGCGACGTGGCCGAGGTGCGGAAGAGCTTCAACCGGCACCTGCACTTCACACTGGTCAAGGACCGCAACGTGGCCACGCCGCGCGACTACTTCTTCGCGCTGGCGCACACGGTGCGCGACCACCTGGTGGGCCGCTGGATCCGCACGCAGCAGCACTACTACGAGCGCGACCCCAAGGTGAGGCGGGCGGCGGGGCTCCCGGGGCCGGAGGCCCGAGCGCTGCCCCGATCCCGACCCCGATCCCGTCCCGCAGCCCTGACTCCGACCCGGGTCCCGACCCCGGCCCGCGGCCCGGACCCCGCTGACCCCGCCCTCGTCCTGGTCCCCCAGCGCGCGCCCTGGCGGCGGCCTCTGAGTCGGGGCTCCCGGCCGCCTTCTACCCCCCACTTTTGTGTTTCTGCAGCAGGGGTGAGAGAATAGGCCTGGAACCTGGCCCGGCGGTTTTATGGGTTGGGAGGGATGAGATGAGGGATCTGCGGGCATCGTGGGGCTTGCTTGGGCGAGGCGGAGAAGCGGGAAATCTGCGCAGCCTCCGGTCGTGTGGGGCTGGCCCTCGACCTCGGCGCTTTGTTTTTTGCAAGCTAAGGTGGCGAGGGGCCAGCTTGGAGAGCTGTCATTGACGGTGTTTTAGTGTTTTTATAGGGTGTTACGATACATTTAACATTGCTATGAGTGAGGTGGATTGCTTTTCCAAATTCGTTCTGGAGCACTCCTTTTTTTTCATCCCCTACATAAAGATGGTAAAAAGGACAGATTTGTTAGGTGCCTGTTGAGCCTCTTCGCACTTAGTATGCAAGACCGCTCAGAAAGAAGGCACTGGACGACTAAAGCAGGTTAGTACAACTAGGGCTTGGGACGGCTGCCAGGGGCAGGCAGGAGGCAGCACCAGGATTCCCCACTGGCGGGGGAGCTCCGACGGGCGACACCGCTTTGACTGTTCTGCCTTTGAGGCTGCGGTGACCCGGAGGTGGAGGGCGCCTGGGGCTCCTGATGGCCGGGGGATGTCTAGCCAGGCCCAGGTGAGGAAGGTGGAAATGACCTTCACAGCAAACTTAGTTCCTCTCACAGAGTAGATTTCCTGGAGTCCACTGCAGTGGCTGTGGGTGGGAAGCTTTCTCTTTTAAAGAAACCGCAGCCTGTAAGTGGAGGCTGTTTACCTGTGGATGGGAAGGCGAGGTAGGAGTGGAGCGTGGGCCTTCGAAGCGCTCCTGGGACTGATTCGTGAGGAAATAAGCGTGTCATCTCTGCAGAACCTTCTTGTTTGCTGGTGACAGACCAGAGAGAAGTGCAGAGCCGAGCAGCTTCAGGAAAGGAGCCCAGCGAGGCTCAGGCTTGCACCATTGCTGCTGATGGTGGCTTCCTGGTGCTCCTGTTCACACCATTTTATTTACTTTTGTCCTTTAAAATATGCAGGTCCTTATGATCACTGGAGAAAACATTAGAAAATACAAAGAAGGCAGGAAAAAACTAACTGCAATCTCACTAGGGATAACATAAATACTATAAATATTTGTTTTCAACAGCCTTCTAAAAATTCTGGTAGAAGTACTTGTTTTATTGTTTCATAACTCTTTAACACTTTATTTTTAGAAATAGTAGAAATAATAAAAACTTAGCAAGTCACAGAATCTGGCCAGAATGGAGAGGTTTTTGCGCCGGAGAGGGAGAGGCAGCACTTTTAGATGTTTATAATTCTCTGAAACTCCAGCGAGGTCAGGAGGGAAGCCCAGCCTCACTTCCAGCTCAGACTGGAAGCTCTGGGTGTTGAGGGAGAGTCCGACCCGAGTCTGGGCTCCTTTTACATTTTTGTTTGTTTCTGGAACTGGAGCCCAAGGCCTTGCAGTGTGGGTCTGGTCACCCATATAAGGCAAGTGCTCCCCTGGGCCAAGTTACCACCCTTAGACTCTTCGTGCCTGGTCCTGTCCCTACCACTCTTTGTTTCAAGACAGGGTCTCACTGTGCAGTTCAGGATGTCCTTTTGTCTGTTTTCACATTGTCCTTTTAAACTCACTATGTAGCCCAGGGTGACCTTGAACTTGATTCTCTTGCCTCAGCCTCCCGAGTGGGGATTACAAAGGTGTGCCACCATGCCCACCCTGGTTTTACCACTCTTGCAGTGCCTGTGGGATCTGTGTGGATATCTTAATCTTCCTTGGTCTCGGGTTTTTTTGTTTGTTTATTTGTTTTTTTTTTTTTTTTGAGACAGAGTCTCACTATGCAGTTCAGGCTGGCCTCGAACTCACAACAATCCTCCTGCCTCAGCCTCCTGAGTGCTGGGATTACAGGCATGCACCACCACGCCCAGCTGGCCTGTTTTTGTTAATCTGTAAAATGAGAGTTGAGCTGAGTAATCTGTTTCTGTATTTTGAAATGTTCGGGACTGTGTTTGCTTATAAAACACATTTCCTTCTCCACCCAGAAGGAATGTGAAGGTGCTTAATCAAGGTGTAGCAGAAGGCTTGGTATTAGTAGAGGGCCTCAGAGAGAGAGTTGGATGGGGCAACAAGGCGGAGGATAGGTGAGATTTGGGTGCAAGGTCAGGACACAAGGAAGACCCAGATGGTCCAAAGAAACAGCAGATCACACACATGTGGCAGCCGCGGGATCCTTGTTAGGGCTGGAGCCAGCAGGGCACAGCTTCTGGGTAGAGCCGGTCCAGGATGGTGTGGCTGGCACCCCAGCGGTGGCAGGTTTTGGCTGGGGCTGTGGTGGCTGGCTGTTGAGTGTTGCTGATCGCCCTGAGTTTTTTTTTTTTTTTTTCTCTTTTTGAGACTGTTTTGCTATGCAGTTCAGGCTAGCCTTGAACTCACTTTGTAGCCCAGGGCTGGCCTCAAATTTGCAGCAATCCTCCTGCCTCACCCTTCTAAATGCTGGGATTCCTAAATGCTGGGATTAGAGGCTTGTGCCACCACACCCAGCCCATGATGACTTCTCACTGCAGGCCCAGAGTGGGAGGGGTAGGCCCTATGGGCAGCAAGACGCCTTCAGGGCAGCCTTGAGTTCCCTCGGAGACAGTGGCCTCCGCTCCACAGGCTGTCACCTTGGCAGGGACACAGTGCCCAGACGTGGATGTTATTCTGGGTGTTTCTGTGAAGGTGTTTTTTGGAGGTTAGCCTTTTGGGATTAGTTTTTTGTTTGTTTGTTTTTTGCGCTAGCTGTTTTTAAGATTAGCTTTTAAATCAGAGGATTTCTTATTTAAAACATTTAAGATGGGTGCTTAAAACTTGTCCACGTTTGTGGGGTGCCAGTGGTACGTGAGCACCCCCATGTTTGTGTAGCGGTCAGATGGGGTGAGCAGCTCTGTCTCCTCACACATTTCTCATGTCTTGGTGATGAAGACCACCAGGGCCCTGGGCTCTGTGGGCCTCATCTCAGTGCACCCACTCCTCCCATTCGCTCTCACTCAGTACGGACCAGCCTTTCTCCTGCTCCCTCCCCTCCCCTGGCCCCCTCCCAACTGCTGTGAGAACAGCTTTAGAGTCCTCCACATTTGAGCCACACTGGTGTATGTCTTCCTGAGCTTGGCTTATTTTGTGTAACACAGTGTGCCCCAGTTCTAGCCACACTGTCGCAGGACACTAGCCTTTTTTCTCTTCTTATGGTGCTGAGGCTCAAACTCTGTCCTTGTCCATACTAGGTGAAGTCTTGACTCCTGAGCTACAACCCTATCCAGCCTTATCCTTTTTATGGCTGCATAGTATTCCACTGTGTTTCTACTATATCTCTGTGCATCCATGAACCGCACTTCGTCTGTTTCTGTGTCTGGCTGCTGTAGACAGTGCTGCAGGAGACAGGGATGTGCGGGTGTCCCGCCGGCATCATGAATCAGTGCGGGAGCCTCCAGGTCTGGGTTCTCCAGGTCTGGGTTGTCTACAGCCACGCCCTTGAGTGTTCCTTGACTGTAAGCCCTTAGGTGGCGAGCTCCACAGCCTGTGCATGTGATTGAATCATTGATCGCCAGTGTCAGTGCCTGTGATTGGATGTTGGAATACTTGCCACGACTTTACCACCCTTCATCCAGGATCTCGACCTGTGTGGGACTTGGCACCATCTCAGTTTCAGGCAGCTGCAGGGGTCTTGGGTGTGTCCCCTCGGATACAAGGGGTGCTGAGTAGGAAAAGGGTTACTAGGCTTGAGCCTTAACCCGGCACTTTCTCGGCAGTGTGCTGCAGCTGAGCTCTGTGTTTCCCCAGAGTTAACCCCTAGCCACCGTTCTGGGTGGGAGGTGGCTTGCCGTGGAAGCCCCACAGCACAGCAAGTGGGTTCAAGTGCAGGGCGAGCCCAGGCCCAGGTCCCGGAAGTCAGCGGGAAGCCGTGGACCTTGAGCCACGTGGCAGCGCACTGCGCCTTGGGGATCACCGCAATTCTTTGGGTGACTGAAGCTGGGATTTGGAGGGATTCTACTGTATTTAGAAGCCATGCACTCAGACGATCACAAAAAAGGAGAAAAACAGGCTATGAAGACCCAGCTCTGGGTTGCAGGAATCTTTCAGTTTGTAGGTGCAGATGATCAGGGAGTTTGCTTTAAAGGACATGCTGGAAATGCTGTGTGTTATTCACATCTTCTCCAGGGCCCCCTGTCACTCAGGTGTGAGTGTCCCCGTGTCCGAGTGTTCCCCTTGTTTCGCACCTGTGCCTTTTCCTCAGTGCCGGGTTGTGGCTTTGCATGGGCTGTGGGGTGTTTTGCACGCGTATCACCTGCATGATGAGGCTGCTCGGTTGTCCCTTCTGTGAGACACCCAGACCCTTCCTCCTACTGGCTGCGCTGCTCGGTGCAGCCCTCCCTGCAGCGGGCACCTGTGTGTTTACTCATCTTGCTCTTCTGCGAGCTCTGTTGGGTCCTCTGTGACCCTGCCTCGTTCTTCACATCATGGTCACTGGCCTTCACGCTGGTCAGTGTGACTCGAGCCTACTGTATCCCTTGCCCTGTCCCCGTCCTGGTTTTAAAAGACATAGCCTGCCATCCTCCTGGTCACCGCCCCTTGGGGTAGAAAGAATTCTTTTGGAGCCAGCTGTTTACAGCTGGATAATGACCTGGGGAGTGTTGATCTGCGTGTACCTCATGATGAGTTGTGTTAAGTGTTGTTGCATTTTTCTTGTTTAATTTTTGAAACAAGAGCCTCAAAATGTAGCCCATCCTCCTGCCTCAGCCTCCCTGCCAAGCGCTGGACCTATAGGCTTGCGCCATCATGCCTGGCGACCACGCGTATTTCTGAGAGGAGAAATGTCTGCTCAGGTCCTCTGTGTATGGGGTGCTGGGGACTGCATCCTCAGCCCCTTTCATGTTTTAATCCTTTTCATGTTGGGTATCTGAACAGGCTGCAGGCTTGTTCGGTGCTTTCTGGTTAACGGCGCTTCAGAAGACGGAAGGTTGTGTTCCTTCTCTGCAGATCCGTTGTGGGAGGAGGAGCTTTAGGGAGAGCTGCTCTCCATGCTGGGAGGGGAACACGGGGCTGCCCTGCATCCACTCCAGCCCAGGGGTGCTGTGCACAGTCTTTCTGGGTAAAGCATCCGATCCTCAGGCACTGCTGGCCCTGCCACCACCCAATCCGGGACCATCCCATCTAGGGACGCGGCGCTTCCCCAGCCACCTTATCTGTATGGGTCTTGTGTCCTGGGAGTGGTGCACGGAGTTTCCCTCTTTCTGGGTCTCACTGGGCTGCCCAGGCTGGCCGCAGACTCTTGGGCTCAGCCAGTCGTCCTGCATCAGCCTCCAGTGCTGGTACTCGAGGTCTGCGCACAGTTAATTTGGAAACACTCCCTCTCCGGGCCAGGCCTGCTCCTCCTGGACCCACCAGGTCCCAGTGGTGAGGCTGCCCTGACTCCCCGGGTGGCTGTGGCTGTCCATGGGGCTGCATACCGGTCCACTTCTGCCCCAGAGGGGATGTGAGGCTGAGTCTCTCTCTCTCCTGTGCAGCGCATCTACTACCTTTCTCTGGAGTTCTACATGGGCCGCACGCTGCAGAACACCATGGTGAACCTGGGCCTCCAGAGCGCGTGTGACGAAGCCATCTATCAGGTAGGAGCACCCTGGTGACACTGGGATGCACCAGTGTGCGGGGCATGCTGCTCCGCCTTGGGCCCGAGGAGCTGAGCTGCTGCTGCTGACTGCACCCCTCCCCTAGAGTCACTTCTCCTTGCGTGGTGAAGCCACCCCTCCCTCTGTCCCCTCCAGTCTCTGGGCCTAGGGGTGGCAGTGCTGCTCTGGGCCAGGCTGGGCCCTGGCCCCACCTCAGGGACCTGGGCACTTGGTCCTCCAGCCAGGCCCTCTCCTCTTCCTCACCCAATTTGCTGGGCCTGCCGGAGGATGTGGGGCACCCTGCTGCTCCCGGAGGGGGCCCCATGCCCCATCTTACCTTCCTCTTGGTGGTTGGGTTGTGGGGCACTGGGGGGCTTTGGAGACCTAAGACTGGTGTGGCTGCCAGGCGTGGTGGCGCATGCCTGTAGTCCCAGCACTTGGGAGGCTGAGGCAGGAGGATCCTTGCCAGTTTGAGACCAGCCCGGGCTACAAAGTGAGCTCAAGGTCAGCATGAACTGCATAGGGAAACCATGTCTCAAAAAGACTGGTATAGCCATGAGGTGGCTGGGCCTTGGGGACCCCGTGTCCTCCAGGGTCTCCCCCAGGCCTGGTCAGGAGAAGTTCTGTAGCTTGGGGTTTCAGTTGTTGCCAAAAGGCCGAGACTGTGCTCCCCAGCTGGGGTTCTATGCTCCACATGAGGCCACACCGAGAAGTACTGGAGGTGACTGTTGATAGTCCTGTCCCTGGACTGGATGCCAACCCCAGGCTGTGTCTGGGGGCGAGGAATGTGCAGGGCCTTGTGAGGATTTCATAGCTGTAGGAAGCAAGTATTTTTGAAAGCATTCTCTTACACAGTTCTTACGCATAACAAGGACTTGGAGGTTGTGTGCGCCAAAAGTGTACAATATCTGTTCATGATTTTATCACAGTGTGTTAATGACAGACCAGGAAAGTGCAGGCGGGGCGTGTACCCTGCAGCTTTGCACATTTGCTTCTTACAAGTTACTCCACTTGCAGTTTGGCCTGTCACCCTTGGGGCTGAGAGGTTTTCCTGCGGACCAGGCTGTCCCAGTTGCAGCCTCAGTGGGTGGGACCCTGGACACGAGGGCTGGTGCTGGGGCAGCAGCAACTGCTCCCCACCCCACTGCCAAGCTGCATGGACCAGGAGTACACCCACCCTGCCAGGCACCGGTCAGAAGACACAGACAGTCACACTGTCATGGCCCCTCGGCACAGATTGTAATTCCTTCGCAGCCTGGGTCAGTGCAGATCTTGCCTCCAAAACAGGAAGTATGATGTGGGTCTGGTGTCCAGAATGTATAAATAGCCCACAACTAGACAATAACAAGATAGACAACCCACTTTAAAAATGGACAAAGGCTGGGCATGGTGGCCCACACCTGTAATCACAGCACTCTGGAGGCTGAGGCAGAAGGATTGCCATGAGTTCGAGGGCAGCCTACACTGCTTATTGAGACCATGCCTCAAAAAATCAAAAACAAATTGAAATGAACAAAGAAGTCAAGCTTGGTGGTACCCTTCTGTAAGCTAGCACTGAGGGAGGCTGAGGCAGGAGGATTATAAGTTTGAGTCCTTCTTGGGCAATTTAGTGAGACCCAATCTCAAAAAAAAAAAAAGGGCCAGGGATATAGCTGGGTTCAATTCCTAGTGCTGGGATGGGGGTGAGGACACAGGGACTTTGTCTTGGTTACTTTTCTCTCGTTGCTGGACAAAATACCTGATGCCCAGAATTAAGGAAGGAAAGGTTTATTTACAGTTCATGGAGGTTTCAGTCCATATTCAGCTGGCTCCAAGGCAGAGTGGCACATGGCAGAGGGCAACAGTTCATGGAGGCAGAAAAAACAGCAAAAACAAGAGCAAAAAGGGAGGAGTGGCAGCTAGAACAAGCCTCTTTCCCTCCCTTACATTGTGTGCAAACTATCCACCCCAGGACAGGTGTAGCACTCACACCCATCATCCCAGCATTGGACTATGGATCAATCAAAAATCTAGAAGCCGGACCGCATGAGGATTTGGGGGGACAGGCAGACACAAACCACAACAGACTTATACAGACATTTTCCCAAAGACACACAGTGGCCAGGTGGCACAAGAATGAGCCCTCATTGCTTACCAGAGCCGCAGTGGGAGCCGCTTTGCCTGCCAAGGGCTGCAGCCGTGAAGGGTGAGGGAGAGGGAGAGGGAGAGGCCGGAGCCAGCCCTGGAGCGTCATGCACAGCTGCTCCATTAGGCTCGGAGTGGTCCTGCGGCCTGCAGCTCCACCCCAAGGCATGGGCTACAGACAACACCTGAGCCTGGTTCCACAGCTGCATATCCGTGAGCCCCACAAGGGAAGAACACAGACCTCCATCCGTCTGTCCATCCGTCCATCCATCTGTCGGTCACCTGATGGGCAGTGTGCGGTATCTATCGCCAGGACACCACACAGTGACAGCGGCAGGGGCTGATTGTGGTCCCCAGGACTAAACCCATACTGACACTGCACACGTCGGTGTGCGTCCCAGGCGAGGCTGCTGAGGGCCAGGCGAGCACTGCTGTCTCACAGCGGGGTGGTTGCAGGACTCCATGCACTTTCGGGGGCCCTCGCGCAGTGCCAGGACAGCAACTGCACGATGTCCTGCCCTCCCCGTTCCGGCTCAAAAGTCCACCTCCATGGGTTGGCTTTCCCCAGTCAGCTGTGTCTCTTCTTTATTCACTTTGTTTTTTGAAAAATGGCCTTGAGAGAGACAGACACACAGCAACAGAGGCAGGAAGCGCTGTGGTTTGGTTTTACATTTTTTGGAGTCAGGGTCTATGTTGCCCAGGCTGGCCTCAGACTCCTGGGCTCAGGCAGCCCTCCTGCCTCGGCCTCCTGAGTAGCTGGGCCTGCAGGTACGTGCCATAGGTCTTGTGGTTTTTTTCCCCCCTCTTCTTTTTCTGGTACAAGAGATCAAACCCAGGGCCGTCTACCACTTACCTATATTCCCAGCCCTTTTTATTTTTTTAAGAAGGGTCTTGCTAAATTGTGATTCTCCTGCCTCAGCCTCCCAGACTGGGATTACAGGTGTGTGCCACCACACCTGTCTTTTTTTTGAGGCATGGTCTCCCTGTGTAGCATAGCCTGTTCTTGAACCACCATGACTGGCTTACTCATCTGCTTGCTTGCTTTCTTGCTTGCTTCCTTCCTTTGTTTCTTTCTGCTCTCAAAGTCACAGTGACATCTCTGCCAGGATGCGTGTCGCTGTCACAGACATGAGGGACATGCACGTGTCTTCAGCTCTACCCTTAGCCAGTCTTGCTTTGGGAGTTAAGCTTAAGTCGCACTATTTTGCAGTTGGTTCCAGTTACTTCTTACCCGTGAGCCATTTGTGATGTGGATGTTTGTTTTTCATGACTGGTTACCTCATACTGCATCAGGTTCTAAGTTGGTCTGGGCCATTAGGCCAAAACTGGTTTCCTTTTCTTTTCTTATTTGAGACAAGGTCTTGCTGTGTAGTTCAGGCTGGCCATGAACTCCCAGTGATTCTCCTGCCTCAGCCTCTCAAGTGCTAGGATCACAGGTCTGCGCCACTATGCCCGGCCAGAACTGGTTTCTGAATCAAGGGTGTCTTTGGCCCATTTCAGTCTTCTCTGTCACGAGTGGAATAGAGTTTCCCAGGAGCTGTGCGATGAGCAGTACAGTACTGTGACAGACAGAACTCTGAGTAGAATATCCCTGGAAAGAGAGCTGTAATGATATAAAACAATGCCACTTGCTTCAGTGGTTTTAAAAAATAGTTATTTTGCTGGGCCGTGGTGGCTCATGCCTATCATTTCAGCACTGGGGAGCCTGATGTAGGAGGATCTCTGCAAGTTCAAGGCCAGCCTGAACTACATAGTGAGACCCTGTCTCAAACCAAAAAAAGCGTTATTTTGAATACATTGTAAAACCTTCCAAAGGGAAGGAGAATATGGACCATTTTTTATGTGTGGTGGTTTTAAGTTAGTTTTTCATTTTTTAAATTTTTTTTATCTTTTGGAGACAGGGTCTCCTTACGCAGGTCAGGCTGGCCTTGAACTCACTATGTAGCCCAGGCTGGCCTCAAACTTGCAGTGATCCTCCTGCCTCAGCCTCCTGACTGTGGAGATTACAAGCATGGGCCACCATGCCTGGCAGTTAGTTTTTCAAATCAGTACTTTCTAGCAGAAACAACCAAGTCTCTGTCATAGAATTTTGAGACCCATTGAAACAAAGTTCAATAAGAAAACAAAGTAGTTGTTTTTCATTAAAGTTTTGGTTTATGTTAGCATGTAAGGAGTTACTATTACTTTTAAATGAATTTACACATAAATACACACACTGCAAAATTTTTCTGCATTTTATTTCTGATTTGATAATTGGTAATGGATATAATGGCACAAACACAGACTCTCTGGATCCTCCTCAGTCCAGAAAGTTTCAGTATTGCTAACCCAGATAATGTGAGCAACTTGTCACATTTCTACCCTGCAGCTCTGTTCATGGGCTATTTAGGGTAATTGTGCCCAAGAGCCTAGGTCTGTATGGTGGCTGGTTATAGGACTGTTCATGTTGTTGTGACTTTGCTGTTTTTTCTCTGATCTTTAATGTGCTCTATTTATCTCACAGGATTGTTTGAATTCAGTTGGCATAACCACAGGAAAAGTACTTTTAGGTTTTGTCTTAAAAAAATGTCACATAACTATCATTTGACCATGTGAAATTAGAGAATTTCTGAAACCTTTTGGTACACTGGTGGGTGCTTTTGTCCCATCTACTTGAGAAGCTGAGGCAGGAAGATCAGTTAAGCCTAAAGTTCTAGGCCAACTGGAGTAACACAGTGATAGTTTATATCAAAAAACAAAAACACAGTGCCTGCCTGGCAAGCCTGAGGTCCTGAGTTCAATTCCCGGTACAAAAAAAAGAAAGAAAAAAACAAAAACAAAACTTCAAACCACTGGATTCAGACTGAGGCCACATGTTAGAACCTGTTCATTATAAATAGGTTTGTAACCTGGCAATGCATATATTTGGCTAATAAAACGTGTCTAATTTTGACTGCTAAATTAGCAGCTTTGGAATACCTGAAAACTTTCATTCTGTGCATTGATCTAGCATTGAGTTTTAACACTGGATTTTCAAGGTGGGAAAAGCAGGCTCTTGGTTTTACTCTAAGTTCACAAGGTTTAAGCATCTTCAATCTATTGCGGGGGACGTGCTGCTCAGATGTCGCCTTTGTGTCTGCAGCTGGGCCTGGACCTGGAGGAGCTGGAGGAGATAGAGGAGGACGCCGGCCTGGGCAACGGAGGCCTGGGACGCCTGGCAGGTGACTGCGTGGCTCTGGGGCCAGGGAGGGCACATGGAGGCCCAGCTGTGCCATGGAGACCGAGCTGGCCGGCGCTGGGACACCGACCACATTCCCGGGTCCCAGAGCTGGGCTCAGGCACAGGACTTTGGGTCAGGAGTGGCTGAGGATACAACCCAGTGCGGGGTGTGGCTGTGGCTTCCCCGCAGCAAGCTGAGGGCGCTGGCATGCCAGCACAGCCCATCGGAGAGCCGCCCAGGGGATTTTCTGCTTTAATCCTTTTTGGCGGAAGGAGCGCGGCCCGGGATGTGGCAGAAGTCATGGATTGGCTTTGTGGCCATGTGTGGGGACAAGTGGGGTGGCCTGCCCCCTGCTTGGGTCCGAGCCCTGTGGAGGGTTGCTGTGTATGGACCCTAAAACGGGCTTGACATGTATATTTTCAGTCTTATGTCTTCAAGAATTCTAAATGCAGCATATTCTCACAAAACACACAGATCTAAGTAAAGAATACCCTTCTCCCAACTGTCCCTAGCCCCCATGTCCCCCACACCCTCCTCCAAGAGGCCAGGTGAGCCCCCAAGACCTTGTCCCTTCTTCCCTGTGTGGGGCTGGGCTGTCACCAGCTTCCCGCCGTCCTTGTGTGGATTCCAGTGTCCTAACTGGAGGGAAGCTCAGCCTCTGGGAGCTCAGTGTCCTGGCTGGGCCTGTGGCATCCTTGTGGAGACCTGTGTCCTGGGCACACCTCAGCATTCTAAGGAACCAATCAGGCTCTGGCCCAGCTGTGCTGATCGTGGGGATCTGTGTTGTGTTTGTCAGCCTGTTTCCTTGATTCCATGGCCACCCTGGGTCTGGCGGCGTATGGCTACGGGATCCGCTACGAGTTTGGGATTTTCAACCAGAAGATCGTCGATGGCTGGCAGGTGGGTGACCTGGGTCTCCTCAGGGTTTGCGGCTCTCGCCTGTCCTCGGGCAGCAGCCGGCAGTACTTCCTCCAAGTGACCTGATTGGGCTGGGCAGGAGGGGTGCTTCGCTAACAGCCCTGGGGGTGACAGGGTGTTTAGAGGTGGACACAGAAGCCCCAGATGGGTACAGGACGCTTAAGGGGCACCCTGGCTTCCTGGGTGTCACACTGGGTACATGGTGTGCTCTGGGACCCAAACGTGGGCCACTGAGTAGCTAGAGGAACAGTGATGGTCCTTTGGTCCCCACCTTTGGCCTTTGCTCCCTAATATGAGAGAGCAGCTTCTGGTATGGCGGAGGCTGGACTCCCAAGGAGTGGGTTGGGTGAGTCAGTCACAACATCAAAGCATCGACCAAGGCTGGGTGAGGTATGAGAATGACGTGGAGAGGAGGGCTAGTGCTATTGTGGCAGGGACCCCAAGGCCTTCATGGCAGTCTCACTGTTCTGGGTGCGGCAGCCATGGCACTTGAACATGGAGGTCACTCCTGTTCTGCTTGGTGGTGAAAGGCTTCTGATAGCATTTGGTCCCTAAACGGCCCATGCAGCAGGGCTGGGCTTAGAGGCCATGTGCCGCACCACTTGGAGGAGGGGCCGTGTCATGGGTTTGGATCTGTGACTGTGCAGGGCTCACGTCTCCTGAGGGTGCCGTCCGTGGTGTTTGGGCGGGGTTAGGGGACAGGGGGACGGGGGGGGGGTGTGTGCGTATTTTTGCTGATCTGAGTGCCTCAGGCTCTGTTCTCTGGTGGTCGGCTGGCAGGGAGCACTGTGTTCAGCACTCTCCTGGCCCCTGTGAGCACCAGGCCCAGCACTCAGGGCTTCCAGTGTCCTTTGCTCTGCTGAGTGTGTACGTGTGTACGTGTGTGTGTGTACGTGTGTACGTGTGTGTGTGTATGTGTGTGTGTGTGTGCTGGAGCACATGCCCTGTCTCTCAGTTACATCCCATTGTGGTATCATTCTCACAGCAGCAGGCTTCAGTGATGCTTTTCCTGTGGCTGGTTTGATTTTGTAGTAACAGCTCTTCTGAGGTGGAAAGCAGTTCTTGGTGCAGCAGGGGGTGGCCAGCACTGTCCACCTGCAGAACACCTGTGCACCCAGAACGAGCCCTGCACTGAGCCACGTGGGGGTGCCTGGTGGCCACTGGTCGCTCACCCCGAGCCCAGCCTTTGGAGACCCCTGCTGTCTTGGGTTGCACAGCGTGTGGGCTCCTGAGCCTGGCCTCCTCCACGCACGTTGGGGTCATGGTCCTTAATGTGTGTTTGGATGCTTTCTTCTGGATTGCGTGTGAGGTTTTGCTCTGTTGGTGCCGAACTTTTTTCCCCCAGCACTGGGGATTAAACACAGGGCCTTCACATGAGCTATGTCCTTAGCTTTTTTAAGTTTGAGACACACTCTTGCTAAGTCCCTAAGTTGTCCGGGTTAGGCGGGAACTTACAAAACTCTTGCCTCCGCCTCCTGGATTCTGGGCCCAGAATGTTCATTTTCCAGCCACTGGACTTGGCTGGTATAGGAAGCTTCACTGGTGAGCAGGCCTGGTTTTATTCGGTGCTGTATACTGTTTGATCTGCTGCCCCAGGTGGAGGAGGCGGATGACTGGCTGCGCTATGGCAACCCCTGGGAGAAGGCCCGGCCTGAGTACATGCTGCCCGTGCACTTCTACGGACGCGTGGAGCACACAGCTGAGGGCGTGCGGTGGCTGGACACGCAGGTATGGAACTGGGGGTGGGAGTTCACTCTCCTCACACGCCCTGTTGGACACCTAGCCAGATGTCCCCAGTGCAGGAGCTGCTGCATGTAGCTCTGTGTCGCTGGGGGGCTGTGTGGGCTGTGGCCGGCGCCAGGCGTCCTCGCTGTGATGCTGCAGAGCTGACTCCGTCGCTGGCTTGTGGCATGCGGCACGGAGGCTAAGCCTGAGCTGTCTGTGACCTGAGCAGCAGAGCAGGAACCCCGGGTTCCCCTGTGTGTCTGAAGATGGGTGTCAGGGGTCCGGCACTGTGAGGTGTGGGACCGTCCCTCTGGACAAGCCCATGGACAGGAGCCAGGAAGGGAAGTGCCACAGTGCTGGTGTTGCCGTTGGTGGGGGTGCCTCGGCCCAGCCCCATGGTCGGAGCTGAGGCGCCTCTGCTGGTGCGAGAGGCCAGGTCCTGCCGGCCACCTGTGCCTCATCCTGAGTGGAGCTTGCCCTCAGGCATTGGGGGTTACAGGGTTGCCGGGCCGCTCCTCACTGTGCTGCCCCTCACTGTGCCGCACCTGGTGTGGAAGGCGGCAGGGACCCTGCTGACTGCGTCCTGTGCATGTCCCTGTGGCCAGGTGGTCCTCGCTATGCCCTACGACACCCCAGTGCCTGGCTACAAGAACAACACGGTCAACACCATGAGGCTGTGGTCTGCCAAGGCGCCCAACGACTTCAAGCTGCAGGACTGTACGTACGGCCGCGCCCACTCCTGTCTGGAGCCCCCAAGCTCTCGCGCCTGCCGCTCCCACCCTGCCCCTCTCTGCAGAGTGCCGAAGCCCCAGGGCTCTGGTGCTAAAGCTGCTGCCTGAGCCCTACGGCGCCCTCCAGTAGACAGGAGGGTGGGATTGTGGCACTGTGGCCCCTGGCTCCCAAGGGAAGCGTGAGGGGGCTTCAGGGTGGGGTGGGTCTCTGTTGCTTTGATGGCTCGGCTGAAGCTCTGAGGACCTGCAGGGCTCACTGCCTTCCCCTCCCTATCTCCATAGTCAACGTGGGGGACTACGTCCAGGCCGTCCTGGACCGGAACCTGGCGGAGAACATCTCCAGGGTGCTGTACCCCAATGACAACGTGAGTAGCGCCTGGGACAGACTTGTCGGGTCTCTGGCCTGTTCTGGGAGCGCCGACCTCCCCTGGCTGAAGCGGAGGCTGGGTGGCCTGGGGCCTCCTGCCTGAGTGCAGGCCGCTGGCTGCTCTGGAGGGGGCGCATTTGCCCCTCCCCCTGCCTCAGCTTGGCTCCTTGAGGGAGAGGTGTGGGTGGAGCCCCGGTTCTGGGCCAGGCTGGGTTGCTCCTTGGGGTGCCCTGAGGCCTGTCTATCCTGTGGGGACAGCACCCTGACGCTGGGGAGGTCTCAGCACACCCCATGTGCTTGGTGGTGGGCGCAGCTGGACTCTGCTGCCACCTGTGCCCAGTGGCCTTGGTATTTGGGTCTCCCTGTTGCTGTACAAACGGCCCTGGTGGGCATAGTCCGAGCACGCAGGGCGCTGGGCTCTGTCCCTGGCACCAGAGAGCAGCTTGCCCAGCCTGGTGGCTCTGTGTTTGCAGAAGTGTGAGTCCCACTCAGTCACCGTGTGGTGGTGCTAATGGCTCTGGCAGCAGGTGCCCTGGCCTGTGGGTGCAGGGGCCGCTGTGCTCAGATGTCACATCTCCGCGTGGCTCTGGTGTCCTGGCTGCTGGGGGGCTGGGCACCATGTGCCCTGGTGTTAGTCACGCAGGCCAGGGGCACCGGGTTACCCTCCTCTTCCGTCAGAAGGTGACACTGGGTGCTGGTGGTGTCAGGCAGCCGGGTGAGACCGCTCACGACCTCAGCCTGTACCCCTGCCTGACGGCTCACCCCGCCCTCCTGTGCTGCCGGAACGGCCTAGGATCAGGGCAGTGGGCCTCAGGACCCCTCTGCTCCCCACTGTGGGCCAGGTGCCACAGCAGCTTTGTGTCCACAGTTCTTCGAGGGGAAGGAGCTGCGGCTGAAGCAGGAGTACTTCGTGGTGGCTGCCACGCTGCAGGACATCATCCGCCGCTTTAAGTCCTCCAAGTTCGGCTGCCGCGACCCTGTGAGGACCAGTTTCGAGACCTTCCCTGACAAGGTCTGTGTGCTGAGGACGGGGTGGCAGGGAGCTCTCGCTTCCGTTTCCGTCTCGTCTGGCCTGGCCCGAGTTCAGGGCCAGGGTGTCAGGCAGGTAGAAAGGGCCGGCTGCTCCCGAGGTGAAGCCTAGCGCAGTCTATTCCAACAAAGCTGCCACAGCACAGGGGAGGGGGCAGTCTGTGGGGGCAGCCCAGGCCCAGTAGCTCCTCGCACACCTGTCCAGGGCACAGCTGGCCGCAGAGCCAACAGCACCCACCGGTTCCCTTTTGGAGCCTCAGGGTCCTCAGGACAGGCTGCCCAGCACCTTCTCAGCCGGGGCTTGGGCGCCCACAAGGCTAAGGCCGCTGAGCAGCCCCATGTGCCCTGCAGGTGGCCATCCAGCTGAACGACACCCACCCTGCCCTCTCCATCCCCGAGCTCATGCGGATCCTGGTGGACGTGGAGAAGGTGGACTGGGACAAGGTGAGCGAAAGGTGGAGAGACGGTGTCCAGGACAGGTGACATCATGCTCTGAGGACCAGGATGGGGGGCCGTCCTCTGTGGAGTCCAAGCCAGCTACATGAACGACTGAGGAGTCCGGGGAAGGGGGTCCCCTCTCCCGGCCTCAGGAGATTGGGGGATGTCAGCACTCAGAGCACTAGGCCATGGGGTGGGTCCCAGGGGCGGACAGACATCCTGTAGGACAGCAACGTGGGACAAGAATGCAGGGGCAAGAAGGGACAAGGACAGGATTCTGGTACTTTCTAGGGCTTCTTGTGTATGTTTTCTCACCTTGAGAAATCCAAAAGTGTTAAGTTTAAAGATTAAGTGTTAAGTTTAAAGATTCCTGTAGATTTTTCTTAGGGCTCCATTTACTTTGGTCCTAGATTCTTGCATGTGTTAGGATTTTTATTTTTTTCTTTTCTTTTTTGTCTTTTTGAGACAGGGTCTTGCTGTGCAGTTCAGGTTGGCCTTGAACTCACTTTGTAGCCCGGGCTGGTCTCGAACTTGCAATGATCCTCCTGCCTCAGCCTCCCAAGTGCTGGGATTATAAGCATGCGCCACCACCCCTGGCTGATAAACTTTTTTTTTGTTGTTAGTCCTCCCACTCCCCAGTACCTGAAATCAAACTCACGATCTCATGCTTGCCAGGCAGGTGCTGTGCCGCTTAGGTAAATCCCCAGCCCCTGTCTTAGGACTTTTAGGTTTAACTTAAGTCAGTCTATAAAACCATAAAGCATTATCCTCCTGTACTAGAGACTGAACCTAGGACTTCTTCACTGAACTACATCCCTGCCCTATTTTTTTTTTTTTTTTAATTATGGAAAGGGGACCTGCTAAGTTGCGTAGGCTGGGCTCAAACTTGATCCTCCTGCCTCACCCTCCTGAGTAAGCTGGATTCACAGGCAGGTATCACCCAGCCCAGCCACAAAGCAGTTTCTTACTTCACCTTATGGAGATCAGAGCCCCTCTCTAGTCTTGAGAAGTATGTGGCCCTGTGGTAGCGTCCTCTGCCTGGGCCAGCAGGCTATGTAATGGAAATCAGGGGGGACTGTTCAGTGGTCTGTTAATCGATCAGTAAAAACTGTATACAAGGAGGAACATGGCGGGTAATCCAAGGCACAGGTCAGTGGCGTCCTCACAGGTGTGGGTCAGTGGGCAGGGCGGGGCTCTGCAGGACCAAGCGTCACCGTGTATACACTTCTTTCCAACGTCCAGGCCTGGGAGATCACCAAGAAGACCTGTGCATACACCAACCACACGGTGCTGCCTGAGGCCTTGGAGCGCTGGCCGGTATCCCTGTTCGAGAAGCTGCTGCCACGACACCTGGACATCATCTACGCCATCAACCAGAGGCATCTAGATGTGAGCACCAGCCTGATGGGTGGGCGTGGGTCCCACCAGGTGACAGCCCAGTAGCTGGCAGAGCAGCGCTTCGCTGCCATGCACTTGATCCTTCCCGAGCCGCTGAACGGGCTCTAGATCTCCATTCTCACCCTGCAGCCCCGCCTGTCCATCATCCGTTACCTGCAGGGCGCAGGGTCCGGGAGTGACTGCCTGTGGGATGTTTGTTCCTCTGTGTGTCTCTGTGTGTGGGGGTGTATGTGCTTGTGTGATTCCCCTGAGCACAGCTGTCACACTGTGGGCAGGGTGGGGAGCCCTGCATCCTCTGTAAATTGGATGGTTTGTCTCCACCGCTGAGGCCCGGCACCGGGACCCAGGTCGAGGCCTGGAGCAGGACTGCATCCCTTGGGCATGGCAGCCATCCAGGTCCCGGGGGCTCTGGGGGCACATGGATCTCACCCTGTTCCACTCCTTCTCTGGGCTCCAGCAAGTGGCTGCCCTGTTTCCTGGGGACGTGGACCGCCTGAGGAGGATGTCTGTGATCGAAGAGGGTGACTGCAAGCGGATCAACATGGCCCACCTGTGTGTGATCGGGTCGCATGCCGTGAACGGCGTGGCGCGCATCCACTCGGAGATCGTGAAGCAGTCTGTGTACGTGAGGCACTCGCCGCCTGCTCCACCTGGCTGCCGCGGGAGGCCTGGCCTGTGTTCACACCCGCACAGGCAGTGACGGGAGAGGCGGGACCCCAGCCCCACTAGACGCCTGCTGCTGTCCACAGAGCTCATGGCCCTTGGTCCATCTGCTGCTGGCTGGGTGCCTTGGACACTACATGGGGCCAGGGCTGGCTGCAGGGGCTGGGCAGGCGGCAGTCAGGTGGGGACTGGAGGTTCCTCCCTTCCCCCTTCCTGTCACCTAGCGAGGCTGCTGAAGGCCTTGGCCCCATGAGTGCCCGTTGACAGCTCTGTCCCCCTGCTGGGCCCAGGCTCTGTGGTCCCCACCGTGCACTTGGGAGTTGGATTTTTCCCCAGCTCACAGCTGAGGAAACAGCCCAGGCCTGAAGCCTGTGGAGTCCCCAGGGTTGTGGCCTAGCTGCGTCCTCACATGGGGAAGGGCAGGGTCAGCACTAGACTCTGCAGCCAAAGTATGCAGTGTATGCAAGGCTCTGCCCCCTAGCGTCCATACCCCTGGGGCTCTCCTGGGAAGGCCCTGCGTTCTCTGGCTCACTTGGCTCAGAACACGGCATTTCTGACAGTTCCTACCGTCTGTTTGTAGCTTCAAGGATTTCTACGAGCTGGAGCCAGAGAAGTTCCAAAACAAGACCAACGGCATCACCCCCCGCCGGTGGCTGCTGCTGTGTAACCCGGGGCTGGCAGACGTCCTTGTGGAGGTGCGTGGCTGGGCCGGGTCCTAGAACAAGGAAGCTGGGTCTTCATGTGACCAGCAGCAAGCCGGGGAAACAGCTCAGAGCCACCAGGCTAGGGTAGAAGGACTTGGCCGTGCTGGGAGAGGCCCAAGGCAAGGAGAGGCCCTGAAGTGCCACAGGGAGGCCAGGCTGGCCCAGGGCAGGAGGGCCAGGTCCATCCATGGGGCCGGAGACTGTGTAGAGTGAGGCTGGTGGCTATATAGCAGGAGGTCCCCTGGCTTGGGGACTTGGGCTGTGTGATGGGAGAGCCCCCAGGGGTAGGCTGGGAGCTGGGAGCAGGACTGAGGAAATCGGGGCTCTGTAGGGGTGCTGAGGCGAGGGACCCAAATCCCTGTCGCCTTGAGGGAGCCGTGCAGGAGGGACCCTGTTGGGAAGGTGGGTGGGCAGAGGCGTGGGTGCACGTAGAAGCCAGGCTCTGGCAAGCAGAGTGCCCTTCCTCCCGCAGAGAATCGGAGAGGGCTTCCTGACAGACCTCAGCCAGCTACGGAAGCTGCTGCCGCTGGTCAGCGACGAGGCCTTCATCAGGAATGTGGCCCAAGTCAAGCAGGTGGGCTGCGTGGCACTGGGGAGGGGGCTCAGGAGGCCCTGGGGCCCAGGGTCAGGCTGCCGCTTTCCAGCAGGGCCACTGACCTGCGCCTGGCTCTTCTTCAGGCTGCAGGGATGGCAGCTGCAGGAATCTAGTTCTGTTCTGGGAGAAGCCAAGGGGCTAAACCATGGCTCAGTCCCGAGAGCCCCCAGACCTGGGCGGGACTGGGGGTCACATGGCAAGGCCGTGGGGCGCCGCCTCAGCTCTGGGACAGCAGTAGTGCTGCACGCTTCTGCCTGGTCTCCGTTGTAGGGTTTGCACTGGTCTCTTCCTTGCCTCCTCACCTTCCTCCTCCTGTGGCCCCACCTCACACCCCAGCCCCCTTGTTCTGCTCAGCTCTGCTCCAGGTCCTTTACTTCTGTAACCTTGTCCAGCGCGCCCTTGTCCCCTTCTCCCTGCTGCTGGCCCCAGTTCCTGGGCCTGCTGGCCCTGGCCCTGGTCCCTGTGGTTGCTGAGGGCTGTGTCTCCAGGGTGGGTGGACCCCAGGGCATCCAGGGATCTTGGGGCTTGCAGGACAGCTGTGAACAGCGCAGCTGTCATCCGCCCTACTCACAGGAAAATAAGCTGAAGTTCGCCGCCCTCCTGGAGAAGGAGTACAAGGTGAAGATCAACCCCTCCTCCATGTTCGACGTGCACGTGAAGCGCATACACGAGTACAAGCGGCAGCTGCTCAACTGCCTGCACGTCATCACCCTGTACAACCGTGAGTCCCTCCCAGGCCCAGCTGTGTGCGCGATGCGTGCTGAGCGCATTTCCCAGGCAGGGGCTTCTTTCCTGTGTGTGAGCCGGCGAACGTTCACGTCTGAGGCTGTGGGCTGATGGGGCCGCGTGTTGCTGGGGCAGCACAGGGCTGCAAGGCTGGGTTTTCTGTTCAGTGTAGTTTTTTAGTAGTTGTAGTTGCTCTCCATGATTTGCCTTGTTTGGGAAGATTAGCTTGTCAAGGTATTTAATGTACTTAGATGAAATCATATGTTAAATTCATAACTGTAGCTTAAGTTGCTTATGGACAGTTAGGAGAGCAAATGTGAATCAAAGACCCCCTAAAAGTAGATGTGAGAGCTGGGCACAGTGGCACACACCTTTAATCTGAGCACTCTGGAGGGTGAGTTCAGGACCAGCCTGGACTACGTAGCAAGACCCTGTCTCAAACAAAACCAAAAAAGCGGTTGTGAACATTTGCTTGGTGGATTAGCGAAGTCCTAGGGAAGAGCTAGGTTTCTAGAGTTTTGTGAGATAGTAAAGTATTTCAAAGTGGAGGCGCTGCAGAAATACTTCACGGCCCCCGACCCTAGGGCTCCTGCTCCAAGGGAGCAGCACAGCCTGGAGGGAGCCTGGGCCCAAGAGGCGCGTGGTGCGGGGCACGCCCAGCCTGGCTTCTGCCGCCTAGTGGCTCACGGCAGCCTTGGTCTCCTCATCCTCTCATTTTCCCTTGGGTCTCCAGAGTCCCGTGCGAGCAGCAGTAAGGGCTCTAGATCGCCCTCCCTCTTCCTGCTCCAGCCTCCCCTGTGGTCCCCTGTAGCTCCTCAGTGCTGCGTGTCCTCCCCCTCGCCCAGAGGGTGACTTCCATGTGGGTTGTGCACACGTGTGGTTTATGTGGGGCCTGCACACATGTGCAGGTGACCTTGTGTACAGTTTGTACTTGTGTGTGAGGTGTGCGTGTGATGGGTACTTGTGGGCGGGTGCACATGCATGTCCACGTGCGATGTGTGCTTGCACGTGGGATGTGAATGTGTGTACGTGCATGTCCTTGTCTAATTCCGAGCACATGGGCGGCCTCTGCACTCTTCTTATCTCCCGTCTGATGTGACTCTGGCTTCGTCTGCAGAGCACCATGCTGTGTCCTCTGCCCATCTTGCTGCCCAGGTGTCCAGCATGGCTAAAGGGCACTGGCTGGTGGTGCCAGTGTGGCTTGCCGTCCTTCCAGCACGTTGTGGGTCCCTGTGCCCCTGTCCTGAGGGCTGGAGCCACGTTTTATATCGTTTCTGGATATATGAGTGGCTTATTCTTACAGTTGTGTCTTACTTGGTGTTGACTGTGGCCACTTTTGACTACATACTATATTGTTTCAAGAAAGTATTTGAATTACACACACATCTTTATCCCCTGTGCTGGGGATGGAGCCCAGGGCCTCACGTGTACCAGGCAGGTGCTGTTCCAAGCTGTACTCAGGCCTGAGGTGTGCTTGGGAGGCGTGCCAGGTCCCCTGCACATGCTTCTGCGGAGCCTCTTTAGACCTTCCGTGTGTCTCCTCTCCCGTCGGCTGGCGTCACCCCTCACCCTGAGGGCCTGTGTTTCAGGTCTGGTCTATGTGGTCCTCAAGATGTGAGACTTGCCCAGAGGCCAGCTCTACCCTCTGTGGTGTGGCCCTGACTGCTGACCCCTGCTGCTGTGTTGGCGAGTGACTCCCTCCACGGAGGGACAGAGCCACACCTCCTCTGTGCCCCCACTACCAGGCCTCTGAGGCCCCCAGCCCCTGCTTCCCTGGCTGGCGATGCTGGCCCCGCTCTGTCCACCCAGTTCCTGAGGTCATGTTTTACCTGTTTCCTACTCTGGGTGGACATACTATTTGTGGAGTTTTTGTTTTTTTAAAGAGATGGGGTCTTGGTATGTTGCCCAGTCTGCCCTCAAACTCTTGAGCTCAAGCAGTCCTTCAGCATCCCAGGTAGCTGGGATTGTAGGCATGCACCCTTACACCAGCTCCTTTGTGTTTTTGTTTTGCCCTTTCCTCTGTGCTATAGGTTTTTAGAATCAGGGCCCTGACTGCCTCCCACACTGGCTGTCCCACTGGCTGGCGGTGGCTTTTGAGGGCCACCTCCCATCCCCAGGGCAGACACTCAGCTCAGCTGAAACCTGGAGGCCGAGGGCCTGTTTGCCATGAGTGGCCTGCACAGGCAGCTCTCTGTCACAGTGGCAAGGACCTAAATCACCTGTAAGCGAGGAAGATTGGCTTGGGCCCACGTCACAGATTCCAGCAGTGTGAGCATGGAGAGGAGGCTGTCCACCCCTTTTGGCTAGGAAGCAGAGACAGGTGGAGGCGGGGTTCGTGTCCATCCAGGGTCATGCCCCAGTGACCTCCCTTCCCTTTCTCCTCTGAGTCCCACTGCTGGAGCCCCCCCTCCACACACACACCATAGGCACCAAGAGCACAGGGCTTTGGGGACGTTTTAGGCCAGCACATACTGTGTCATTTGGTTAGTGGGGACAGTCAGGATCTCAGGCTCCTGAGGCTGTGGTGTCACACCCACAGTGCCAAGGCCTTGCCCAGGTCTGTACTTTCTGTTAGCCTCAAACCTGCGTGTGCAAAGCACATTTTTAATACACAGGTCCTGTCACATACCTGGGCCTCAAGAAGCAGTGGCCAGGACAGATGGCTCTGAACCAGGCCTCTTGTGGACATTGGTTTGACCTCCCCAGCCCTTGGCAGGAGTGTAGCTTGTCTAAATGCCAGGCAGGCTGCTGTTTCTTGGGGGGGCTCTGCTCACCACCCAGAACAGAAGCAGAGCCAGGTGTGGGATTGTGGCCATGTGCCACTGCCACCTGGGGCTCTCTGGGTCCCTCGTTGGTTTGGCTTTTTTTTTTTTTCTTTTGTCTTTTTGAGACAGGGTCTCGCTATGCAGTTGAGGCTGGCCTTGAGCTCACTTTGTAGCCCAGGCGGGCCTCAAACATGTAACAACTCTCCTGCCTCAGCCTCCTGAGTTGGTTTGGCTTATATAAGGTCACCCCACTGCCTCACATGAATCTCTTCTGTTTTGCCTACAGGAATAAAGAAGGACCCAACTAAGGCCTTTGTGCCCAGGACGGTGATGATCGGGGGCAAGGTAAGGTGACTTCCTCACTCCTCCTTTTGGCACTGAGCCCAGGGTGCACTCAGTGGGTGCTGCCTGCTTGGAAGCCAGGGTCCTGTGTGGGCGTGGCTCACAGGAGGGTGCCAGGAGTGTCCTGCTCAGCCAGCAGCCTGGCCTTGGTCAGCACTTGGGGTGTGGATGCGCTTGAGGAGATAGCCTCAGGTCTTCTGCAGATCGCCTAGTGCAGTTGTGACACTTGTGCTGCATCGGGCTGTTTGTATCTTGTACCATTGCAAGCTAGCTGTAAAAGGCTCGCCATCGCTGGCCTCGCGTATGCTGCTCCCTGCCGCCCTGGACTCCAGCCCATTCACCATACCATGTGGCCTCTGCCCACCCATCCACTTTGTTTTTGAAGCACATTTTGAACGTTATGTTCTTTCATTAGTGTCTTGGTGTGTTAAGTCTGTACAAAATGTTTTAAAATATTAAGGACAAATCTAAGCCAAAGAAGTAGGAAGAGCTGTAGAAACCGTTAGTCCACGTAGACTCCTGCCAAGTGGTGGGCAGATGGGTGGGTCTTCCACCTCGGTCAGTGATGACCCCTCTTGACCCAGAGCCTCTGGCTTCTTAGCCATCACCACATGGCCGCACATCCATCACACCTAAAATGTGGGCAAGAGTCATCCTGTCAGAAGTGGCCATCCACTCAAGGCCACACCCCCCACTGGTCTCACGAAAGTTGCAAGTACCAGTAGTTATTTTCTTTTTTTTTTGGTTTTTCTCTGGTACCAGGAACCGAACTCACGACCTTGCGCTTGCCAGGCAAGTGCCTTTGCCGCTGAGCTAAATCCCCAGCCCGAGTAGTTATTTTCTTTCAGATGAGGCCTTACTGTATTGCCCAGGCTGGCTTCAAAATCTTGGGCTCAAGGCACCAGGGGATCCTTCTGCCTCAGCCTCCTCAGTAGCTGGGAGTGGAGGCCTATGCCACTGGCCTGGCTAAATATATTTTTTTCTTCCAGTGCTGAGGATGAGCCCAGGGGTCACGCACACACCAGAGGCCAGGGCTCTGCCACTTGCCACACCCCCCCACCCCATTAGCATCTTCAAGAGCTTTGAATTGGCACACCAAGGAGGGCACTCACCTTGACCTGACCATGTTTCTTAGTTCTCCTTATCAATAGACTTTCCCCCCTTTTTGTCATTTTCAATGTCCTTATAGAAATTGGGTGATTTGCCATCCTGGGCTGCTTTCCTGAGGGTTTCCCCAGTGTGTTCTAGCATGTTCCATAGGGTTCCTATTTCCTACAGTGCATCTTTGGAGGCTGGCAGATCCCAAGCTGAGGCAGCCGTTGAGTGCTGGGTGGGATCCAGGCCTCTGGCCCACAAGCCACACTGTTGCTGGGCTCCAGGAGTCTGTCCATGATCTCCCTCATGATGCAGTGACCCTGACCCACATCCTGTTGGCCCTGGGCAGAGTGCTGCACATGAAAGCCCTTGATTACTTCTCTCTGCAGGCAGCTCCCGGCTACCACATGGCCAAGATGATTATCAAGCTGGTCACGTCCATCGGCAGTGTTGTCAATCATGATCCAATTGTAGGAGACAAGCTCCGAGTGATCTTCCTGGAGAACTACCGGGTGTCCCTGGCTGAGAAAGGTAGGCTGGAGGCCAGTGCCTGTCCTGCCGGGGTAGACCGGGTGGGTGGGACGGGCAGTGCTGTGCATGGGGCCAGGCTGCTCTTGGACTGGAGTGGGGGGGTGTCCCAAGAAAGTTCCAGAACCAAACGCTGGTCCACTTGAGGGACTTCTTGAGGTCACTGTCTTGGACACCTTGCCTCAGTCAGCCCAGCCAAGGAGGGGAGCCCTACAAAGGCAGTGGCCACTAGGGACAGGGGCTGTCTGCCTAGGATCACTTGCCAAGGGGCCAGGAGGAGGGAGTGCAACAGAAGAAAGGGAGGCCAAGCTGACCTGCCTTCTGCCCACAGTGATCCCAGCCGCCGACCTGTCACAGCAGATCTCCACTGCGGGCACCGAGGCCTCAGGCACCGGCAACATGAAGTTCATGCTCAACGGGGCGCTCACCATTGGCACCATGGATGGCGCCAATGTGGAGATGGCTGAGGAGGCAGGCCCTGAGAACCTCTTCATCTTCGGCCTGCGAGTGGAGGAGGTCGATGCCCTGGACCGAAAAGGGTGTGTGTCCCCTGGCAGACCTGGGCGCGTGGCAGCACTGGGAGAGGGGCCAAGCTGGGCCAGGTCAGCGCCCACCAGTAGCGCGACCTCCACAAGTGTAAAGCAGCTGCCTCCCAGCTGCCACTCGGGCGCTTGGGGCCTGTCTGTGGCAGATCCCCAGGGTCCTGCTTGCAGGCAGCTCCTCCCGTGCAGGCCCTGGTTGTGGGTCACTGTTGGGGTACAGGTGCTGAGCGGCCCATCTCCCCGCAGATACAATGCCAGAGAGTACTACGAGCGCCTGCCTGAGCTGAGGCAGGCCGTGGACCAGATCAGCAGTGGCTTCTTTTCCCCCAAGGACCCAGAGTGCTTCAAGGATGTGGTCAACATGCTGATGTACCATGACAGGTGGGGCCCCTCCCTGCAACCTGCCACACCGACCCCCACCCTGCGCCAGACCTGGGCCACCCAGTGGGTTGGGAGGGGAAGCCCCTCCACCTCAGCCCACAAGACCTTGGGACCAGCCAGAAGAGTTCTGGCCATGGCAAGGGCCAGACAGTGCAGATAAGGGAGGTCAGCATGCTGGAGGCCCTGAGGCTGCAGTGTTCTTAGGAGGCCAGCAGAGGGAACTCAGGGAGCAGGCAGGGCAGCAGGAACTGGCCAGGCGGTGGAGGGGACTCACTGGGATAAAGTGGAATTAGCAGGTGACACGGTGTAGTTAACACATGGTCAGACAGCGTCATCTCTGGCTACACGGTGGGCCGGCCACACCACCTGTGTCTCCCTGTAGCTCAAAGCTGCTCTGGACAAGGGTGACTTCACTGCCCTCCTATTGCTGCCGTCTGGGTACTTCTGCCCTTGGGTCACCTGCGCCTTCAGTTGGGCCAGGTTGCCCCCTGGCAAGGTCAGTGGTGGAAGAGACTCATGAACTTGCAGATCTGGTGCAGTAGTAGCAGAAGTGCATTTGTGTACTCATAATGCCTACATTTTTGTCCAGAGCATCAGGAACTGCAAATAAGCTTCTCCCGTACCACCTGTTCTCAGACTTGAGAACAGATGACTGCGTGGGGGCTTCCAACAGAGAGTGCATGGGCCCTGGGCCTGCGCAGCCCCACAGCCTGTGGGCTCTGCACTGTCCATGTTTTCCTTAGAAGCATCCTAGGTTAGAATGTGACTTCATCAGGACACCCTGTGGCCAGATGGACCTGGTGCAGCCTGGCCCCCACAAGGGGCAGGGCCTGGCGGGTGGTGACCTCTGGCTGTGAGACTGTACTTGGGACCACAGCACAGGCTGCCTGGGCAGGGCCACTGTTGCCTGCCACCTACCTGGTGTTCTGTCCCTATTCAGGTTCAAGGTATTTGCAGACTACGAAGCCTATGTGCAGTGCCAGGCACAGGTCGACCAGCTGTACCGGGTAAGGCTCATGGGCTGTGGCTGCAGGAGTAGGGTTGGGGTTGGGGCTGGGGCCAGACTTCATTTCTTGGGTCAAGAAAGCAGGTCTTTGGCCAGGGCCAGAGGGGCTTGGGATTCCAGTACACGTGACATTAGTAACTGTCACTGGTGGACCCCATCACTCCTTGTTTTAGCACTGTGGGGCTCTGGGAGGACCCCTACACGCACGCACGCACAGCACCTGCTGGTCCCACAGGGCTTTGCCCTTTGGGGGAGGCCCCTCCTCTAGCTGGCTGGAGGCCAGGGCAGCTGCGTGGCACTGGAGGTAGCAGTGAGGGCGCTGGTTCTAGCCACGCCAGTGCTTGTCTGGTGTTGTTGTCTGGGGCTGTGCACTGTGCTCTGTGGAATACAGGCTTTCAAGGGTGGGACCTTCCTTGGGCTGCTTGACCTTATACTTATCCTCTGTAGCTTCTCTAGTCCCAAGGGTCTTGTTCTGTGGGACCCCTTTTCTCAGCACATGGTGGTTCCTCTTTCGCCAGACTCCCCCAGGGCTCAGAGTTCACTGGGGATAGTCCTGAAAGTTCCAAGGTGCCCCAGACTGAGGAGTCTCTGCTTTTCCTGCAGAACCCCAAGGAGTGGACCAAGAAGGTCATCAGGAACATTGCTTGCTCAGGCAAGTTCTCTAGTGACCGGACCATCACTGAATATGCACGGGAGATCTGGGGTGTGGAGCCCTCCGACCTGCAAATCCCGCCCCCCAACATCCCCAAGGACTAGGCATCCCTCCGGGCAGGGCCAAGGGCTTTTGTTGGGCTGTGTTTGCATTATCATGCCAGCGTTCAAGCACTTTGCCAGTGGCCAGAGGCCCCTGCTTTTTTCCTTGCTATGTTCCCTAGAGGGGCTAACAGGTGGTTTGGAGGATCAGGCAAGGAAAAGAGGTGCCCAGGAGCCTGAGAGACTCTCCTGGTTTCTTGTAAGGAAAGCAGAATTTGAAGTGAGTGGTGCTGCCAGCACCACAGAGGATGGCCAGGAGGCGGAGCTGCCTTTGAGGCCCCCTGAAGCCTTCGCACAAATCTTGCTGTGAGCTTAGGTCTATAGTTTTGAGCCTCTTGATTTTGGGTCTGGGCATGTGGCCGGCATGAAGGCCAGGGACCGGTTTCCATAGCACCGGGCCACTAGAGGCAGCTCCTCGACACAGCCCACTCCCTGTCCCGCGCTGGGCTGTGCACACTGCCCTTCATAGCCATCCTGGCACCATGTGGGTGCTTGGGGCCCAGGGTGAGCAGGAGCAGCATGGAGATGGGGGGAACCTCTGCAGAGACCTCAGTCAAGACACGTCTTGCTGATACAGGGTTACCTTTTTATTTTTCAAAAGAAAAACTTCACAAGCAAATAAAACTAGCTATATCCTTCCCTGTTCATGCGTGGTCAGCCTGTGTCTAAGAGAGGCTGCGTGGACTCTCTGCCTGGCTGGAGGGGGTTAGCCACTGTCCTTGGAAGAATGGCCAGTGTTGCTCCAGGGCCTAGGTGTACTTCCTGACATACACAGGAAGCAGCCTGGTCAGCCTGAACAAGGGCTGGTGGCTGGAGGGGCAGGCATTTCTGCCCACATCATAGCCAGCGGAGAAGTAAGGTCGAACTCCTAAAGCCCCCCATCCTGAGGAGCCTGCTGTGGGGCAGAATCTGAGGCCCTGCCTGTCACTGTGGTTGGAGAAAGAGAATCACCCAAGGCTCTGCCAGCCTGCATGTTGGAGCTGGACTCTGGGCCAGCTCTTCCTGCCTTCCCAGGCCTGCAGGGCCCGTTGGGAAGGGCTTCATCAGAACCACTGGGGTCTTTATGGGTCATGTTCACCTGCTGCTTGTGCTGGCTCTGCGCAGAGGCCGTACTCCCTGACCTGCTGTGTGTGACCCCGCCTGTGTGTGCTTCCTGTCTACTGTGAGAAACTGATTAAACTTCTGTACCCGTGGCTAGTTGGTGTGGTTCCTGCGCCTCACTGCTCAGAGCGCTTTGGGGTTCCTACAGGAGTCCCACAATTCTGGGACCAAAGATGGAACGTTAGCACGGTGTCACCAGACTGTCACGTGTTAAACAGTCTAGCCCCATGGGAACTCTCATCTGGGGGCAGGAGCAAAGTATCTGTTTCTAGTGCAAGTTGTATTGGTCCCTCTATGGACTTTACCGCCCACTCCTGGCCCCCTGAACCAGATCAGTCTCCCTCCTTACCCCTACCTGACAGATCAGGAGGGACAGATCACAGGACCTTTTGGCCCTGTGGACTGCAGGCTACTCACAGCTTTCCACCCCTACACCCTGGTCAGGGCACTGAGAGTCCTGATGCCCTGGCACGACGCCATCCTGCGGCCCTGGAGCACAGATGCCACACAGCTGACAGGAGTGCTCACCCCTCAGGTCCAGAGCACTTTTTAGAACTCGCCCAATCCACAAACTCATTTTGAAACCTGTCAAAGGATCTAAAATTCCCTCTGGTCACACTGAGTAGGGGCATGTGGCTCAAATGCAGTCTGAACAGTCTCTCTATCCTGCTCTGTACCCGCACCCGGAGAGCAGGGCCACCTGTCAGCGCTGCACTCATGGGTGACCGCCAAGCTCAGGTGGGCCCAGCCACACTCCAGTGACTGCGAGGCCCCTGGCACAGACCAGATCCAAGTCTTCCTAAGGGACCCCGGGCCGGAAGAGGTGTTGGGGCCCTGCCAGTGCACCACTGGGCCCGGAAACCACAAGGGACGCCAGGCCCTGGAGAGGCCAGTCCAGAGAACTTGCTGCACCTGTGGCTGCTGGAGGCCTGTCCTCTTCCGAAGGTCTCAGCCGGTCTCCACCCCGGATCAGCGCGTGGGTGTGCCCGGTGCCGGCAGAGGCACTGGCTCAGGATATGCCTGCCCACTGAGCGAAGGACGCAGCAGCCGACCCCAGGGCTAAGTCCTTCCTGGAGCAGCTGGGGTCTGTCCATTGGCCCTGCCACGGGGAAGTCGCCTGCCTGGTCTGCCGCATCTCAGGCGATCCGCTTGGCTGGGAGGCAGGGGTACTTAACCTTCCCTTGGGCCTCCTTACTACCTCGCCACAAGCTGAAGAGCACCCAGACCGTGGGCGGGGCCCTGCTGGGGCCGGGGTGCCCATTGGCCGGGCCTTGAAGTGGGCGGGACGAGAAGTGAGCAGCCGTTGGTGGATCAGGCACAATGGGCGGGGTGCTTGCGCCACCCCGTCTGGAGTCGTCCTTGACCCCTTGCTTAGCAGAGAAGGACAGACCACCACCACGATTTTATTCTTAAATAACTGCTCAGTCTACGCCAGGCTAGATGGGCAGGTGGGTGGACGGGACGGGGAGTGCGGCCCCGGGCCGCGTGGGCATGCGCTGGCAGCAGGAGGGCCGAGCAGCGGGGTGCGTCCAGCGCGCGGGGTGGAGGACCGTGTCTCCACGTCCGCACCCGCGGGCCCATGCGCCACAGCGCGAGCCCCGCCAGCCCGCCCGCACCGGCTTGCGGTCCCTCTCCGGGTGCGTCTCCTGTCCAGCGCCGCTGCTGCTGCGGGGGCGGGCGGGTCGGGAGGCGGCGGTCCGGTCTTCATGCTCCTCGGGCGGGTGGCGGCGGCTCAGTGCTGGCGCTCCGGTTCCGACTTCCCCAGGAACTCCCTAGGCCAGAGGAGGGCGACCGTGAGCAAGGGGACGCGGCCGGCTGGCTCCGCCTTTTTGAGAAGCTAATGGGGCTGCCAGGACCCCAAAGCAAGCTCCAGAACCCTCGGCGACGCAGGGGCGGCGCCGTGGACCCGGCTCTACCCCGGGCACTCAGGCTATGCAGCGGGACGCGGGTCCAGACACCTGCAGGAAGAAGGTGCACAGAGGCCCGCTTCTTCGCCGCACTCACTGGCGGGGGCGGGGAGGCCCTGCCACAAAGGCCCCTGGTATCTGCTCGGCACCAGGCCCAGCCGCGTGCTTTCGGCTCTCTGGCTGCAGCCCACGCTCTTTCCAAGATCCTGGCCAGTCAGGAACTCCGCCTCTTTTCAAAAAGCAAAGGAACAAGCAGCTTTTGGAAGGGCTGGGCCTTCTTCTGGGTGCGGGGCAGCAGCCTCCGAGCTGGGCATCAGTGCTCTCCCGTCAAGGCTTGGTGGCCCGGGCACAGGAGCCACCTGCCCCGCCTGCGTGGGGGCTCTCCCCTCCGCTGGGGCGGAAGGCCTGGATTCAGTCCCCTGCGCCCTCCCTGCTGCGCCTGTGGTGCCCTAGCTGTGATGCTGCTGCCCGGCCCAGGTCCCCAGGGAAGGAGCTGGAGAGCCCCTCACCTCAGTATCCGTGGCAGCTCGGGGCTCTTATAGATGTACTTGTGCCTGTAGCCGAGGTCCGAGTGAAAGGGGACAAACTGGACTTTGAAGTCGCGGAAGCTTCGAGATGGTGCAGCAATGTTGTAGAGCTGGAGAGGGAAAATTCAGTCAGCCCAGATGCCTCCGACGGGGTGGGACTGGGCGGCTCTGGCCTCCCCTCTCCCGAGACCAACTGGTGGCTGCTTCTCCGGAGCAGGGCTCAGCCCCAGCTCTGGTGTGCAGTGCTTCTGCGAGCTGGCCTATCAGTTGGCACTTGGGCCAGGGGACAGACTCCAGCTGTGGCTCCTCAGCAAGCCCCCTCCTCACACCTAGAGGCCTTTCCTCCAGGGCAGGCCTAGGACAGGGACACTGCGGGGTGGGCGAGCAGGCATGTAGCCCAGGCTGGCCTCCAACTCAGTGTTCCTCCTGCCTCAGCCTCCAGACGGTACGGCCTGCACCACCATACCCAGTGATGTGCTACTTTTTCGTGGTTCCTCTTGTGTGACTGGTTCCCAGCCCCTTTCCAGACCCCCCGTGTGCGATTTTCTCAAGAGACCTGCAGGCGTCCCAGCCAACCCCCACCCCTCCCAGCAGCAGAGACGCTGGCCCAGGGTGCCCACCTTTCTGCCAAGCTGGAAGGGCACAACCGGGTCATCCTCTGCGTGCAGGATTAACAAGGGGCAGGAAATGTGCTTCACACTGTGGGAGGAGGGGGAGGCGGAGTGAGGCTGAGGGCAGATACCTACCTGGGCCCTTTGCCGAGGCAGGTCTGGGTGCGCGGCATTCCCCATGCTGGGTTTCTTTTCACTACACGTGAAGGTACCAATGAGATCCAAAGAGTAATTCATTCTCTAAAATTTAGCCTTTGTGTATTTTCTGCTGAAATGGTTACTTCTGCCAAGACATAGTCTTTAAAAAGTTATAAAACAAGCCAGGCGTAGTGATGCAATCTCAGCTACTGAGGCTGAGGCAGAAGGATTTCAAGTTTTAGGTCACCATGTGCAACTCAGTGAGACCTTGTCTCAAAATAAAATCTCAAAAGGCTGGGGCTACAGTTTGGTGGGGTAGTAGAGCGCTTGCCTCACATGCGGCCCTAGTACCAGGAGAAAAAAGTTACAAAATATTTATAAACTGGCTAATTTAGGTGGGCCAATGAAAAAACCAAACCTGCAAATAAATGTTACTATGAATCTGTTAGTTAAAAAAAGGCAGCACTCAGCCAGGGGTGGTGGCGCACACCTGTAATTCCAGCCCTCAGGAGGCTGAGGCAGCAGGACTGCTGCAAGTTTGAGACCAGCCTAGGATACACAGTAAGTTCAAGGCCAGCCTGAACTACATAGTGAAACCCTGTCTCAAAAAAGACAAAAAGAAGTCAGTACTCTAATTTATCTTTGGTGTAAGTGACATTTAAAGTGACTTCTTTAGAAGTCATCAACCCTTCAGTAAGCTCAAAGGGGCCAGACCCTTCACTGAGCCTCATACAGTGCAAGCTGCGCCCTGGGTAGGCCCAGCCTCCCTGTCCTCCGGTCTGAGGTGTCGCCTCAGTCTGTCTCAGTCCCAGCAGGGCTGTGTGCACCCAAGGGAGCAGGACCTGGTGAGGGACACGCACCAGCCACAGACTTCTTGTCCCCGGAGTGTCCAGTCAGCAGCAGAGCTCACGCTCTCCTCCCTCAGCCCCTCAGTCAGCAGCGGAGCCCCACTGCCAGCCGCGAGACCGTCCCACCTGCCTGCCGCCGGCCCTGCGTGCCTGGCTGGGGGTCCGGCTGGCAGCCTCGGGGTCCCAGCACTTGCTTTTGTTTGTTAAGCAGGAATCCAGTTTATTCAGAGAATTCTTAAGTTCTCAAACAATAATACTAAAAACAAGCAGGGATTTTTGCTTATGATTCAAAGTACAGACTGTGAAATGTTAACTGAATATTTAGATAAAGCTTTTTTCTCTTTTTTGGAGAAATTAAAAATCCATGAAATAAAATATCACAAAGACAATGTCAGTAAAATCTGGCATGGTTTCAAGAGTCCTTAACTAAGCAAAATATTAGGTTTACCTAAAGCAATGTTTTAAATAAGCTTTATAAGTACGTTACTATAACCAAATACATATCGAATGGCAGAAGCAGGGATTTTTAAGATCGGTTCTCACTGGATAGTTCGGGCTAGCCTTAAAGTTACCGTATAGTCCAGGGTGGGCTTGAATTTGGGATCCTCCTGCCTCGGCTTCTTGAATGCTGGGATCAGAGGCATGTGCCACCGCACCTAACCTAGCAGTTGTTTTTGAGTAACTATTGTTTTAACACCTATCTAGGAGTCCTGGGTTAGATGACTAGGAAGTCATTTATGTGAACAAAAAAATTATCTTAATGTAACTTTAACTTCAAAATTTCATTTGAAGTTACTGTGAACTTCCATCGCAGTTCTCTGCTGGACGCCCCCTTTTTAAGGCTGTGTTTGTCCTCTACCCCACCCCTCTGGCTCTTCCCTGGGGCTCAGTGCTGCTCAACCATGGTACTTACTTCTCGTCATTTGCAAATTTAATTCCACTGCTTGTGATGGGGTCGAGGAAGAACCAGTCAAACCCAGGGAAGTACCGATACACCTGCAGACAAGACAGAAGCCGTTTTCAGAAGTGCTAACAAGGTCCCCGGGTCGAAGGCAGGCCAAGCACTCGCTGTCGGTTCAGAACCTCCACCCAGGTCTGCTCACACTGCACCCTGCCAGAGTGTGGGTAACAGGCAGCTGAGGCCACCCCCACCCTCGCTCCGGCCTGGCTTTGTGGTGGGGAAATCAGCTGGGAAACTGTTCAGCAGACATGAGGGCCCCACACTCAGGGAAGTGGGAGACCTGGGCTGGTTTCCTCAGTTTCAGACGAAAGCAACAGCAAAAACTTAAAGTAAAGGGTTCCTGGCCTGTATGAAACAGGCCCCAGAACACACAGCAGACCGGGGTCCAAGCCGGAAGGAGATAACAACAAGGCTTCAGAAGGGCAAGGTGGGACCAGCTCTCCCGGGGCCCTCACTGGCCATGTCCTGGGCTTCACCTGCATAACTGGGAGGGCAGACTGCCAGGGAAGGAGCCTGGCTCCCGAGGAAAAGCCAGGACCCACAGAGTCTTAGGCACCCCTGGCCCCACTCAGAGGGGGAGCCACAGGCAGAGACGCCCCAGAGGGAGGAGGCCATGCAGGCGAGGCCCCTGTGGGGCCAGCTCCCTCCTACTTGGGTATACAGTCACCCACTCTCAGGAAGCTCTTAGGTGCGACAGTGTCTGGAACCAAGACTGTTTTAAACAAAATCTGTATTCATTAGAATATTTAAATTATACTTCTAATAATTGCTGTGGAATTGTCTTCTTGCACTTATTTTTTATATTATTTTAATAGTGAAAATGAATTAGTTTTCAAAAAACCTATACTTGCCACTGAAAATGGATGGCTCTTTGCTTCTTCTCGAATATTAGTGAATGGAGATTCCAATATAAGGGCATCTGGAGGTGTCTCTGGGTAAATAAAGAAAAAACAGAGGGGCCTGGGAGACGGGAAAGAAGCTGCAGACAGACGGGGGAAAGGGCTGCGGGTGGCCCTGAGAGGCCCCAAGCACCCCAGCTCGCCCTGACGCTGCGCTGCTGCCGCCAGCGCCCGAGGACACCCGTGGCAGGGCCCGGACAGTAACCGCCGCCCTCACCTCGCTCACAGAGCCGCCGCACCAGGTTTGTTGCCACTCTGAGGGGAAAGAAAAATGTAGTGTAGTTAAAACAACAACAATGAAACAAAAACAAAATACACTTCGGTTGAATCTTGACCAGAATTGTCCTAAATAATCCTGGCAAGGGGCTCCAGAACCGCTGGTGGGCTGGTAGAGGTTGGGGTCCACCTGGAGGACTCTGGGATGGAGTGGCAGCACTTGGCACCCACCAGGCACAGGGGCCTTGTGCCACCTGTCCAGGGCCGTACCCGGCAAGCCCTGCGCCCAGCCACAAGGACAGGCGGCGTCCCTCCACAGGGCCCCCCCTGGGCGCACTGCCCCTCTCCCCACCAGAGACGGTCCTGCCTAGACACGCCCAGATTGCAGGATGCTGTCCAAGCAAGGAACAGGAGCTGAGAAGAGTGACACCGCTGCCCACAGGAAAGGGTGAGAGGATACAGGGTAGCCCCCGAGTTGAGGGGGTTTTAACACACACCCTGGGTGTCCCATCAGCAGAACCATCCAGACTGTCTGTGCCTGGGACGTTAAGACAGTTCAAGCCATGGCAGACATGGTAAGTGGACCTCCCCACACACAACTCTTCTGCCATGTTACTGACAGACAAGACAGGGCTAAATTACCTGCAAACGTCCCTGCTCTGTACCGCGGGCTGACGGCCTGCACTGGTGCTCCAAAGTCAGGTCTGACACAAAGCCCAAGAGCACTTCCCCATCTGCATGGGGCAGTCTCCACACCCCGATGCTCACCCCCACCTCAACTGCATGTGTCAGTCATGAGGCACGCCTGGGACGAGGACTCATGGTAGCCTGACCCAGGGGCCTCCTTTGTGGTACCCGTATCTACCACTGGACAGGTGCCCAGCCCAGGGAGTGACCTACCCCAGGGTCAGTGGCAGCGAGTACCCTGTGGGTTAGGGACATCACCCAGGAGACCTGCTCAAGGGCACCTCCTGCCAGGGTGTCTTACCCAGTGCCCAGGGAATGGCCCCAGATATACACGGGGTTGTCACCACTTCTTGCTTTGATCCAGTCAAAAACATGGAGTGCATCGTAGGTCATGCCCCGCTCCGACGGCGTTCCTACCGAGTCACCCCAGCCTGCAGGAGAGGAAGTGAAGGCAATTCAGGAGACCGGCCAGTGACAGCAGAGGCTGTGGTTCCGCACCCCACTTCCCGTCCAGCACTGGAGAAGGTAGGCGAAGGCCTGGGGGCGATCCTCCCCTCCCCGACAGGTTGGACAAACCAGCCATTCCTGGGTACTCCAAGGGGTGGACTGCACACCTGACCAGTGACTGACAGAACAGAGGTGACGAAATGATCTCAGAACCCAGATACACCTCCAACCCTGAGGCCTGGCAGGGATGGCCAGGAAGGAGCTCACAGGCCAGCCAGTGGGAGTGCAGCCTGCCTAGGGCCCACAGAAGGGCAGTCTCCAGGCTCAAGGCAACGCTGACCGGCCCACGCCTTCCACAGTCTCAGCAGAGGGCACGCGCCACTGTCCTTCTAGCAGCTCAGCAGCGAGTCTCCATCAAATGATCTGAGCACACCAAGTTTGAGCAGGCTCTGCTGCATAAGCTCCACAGTGAGGGGACAGGACAGGACAGGACAGGCTGCTCTCCCGCCTCAGAGACCCGAGGAGGGGGAGGAGCAGGGACAGGGCATGGGAAGGCTCAGGACACCTGTGGTGGACAAGGGCACGGGAACGTGGAGACAGAAGAAAGAGTCCGAGAATGACAGGGAGGAGAGAGCCAGGCTGGGGCAGAAGGGGAGCGACAGGGAGCGGGGGGGGGGGGGGGGGGGGGAGGCGACGCAATGGGTGGAGCTGGGCTTCTCGGGTCACCTCGCAATACGACCTTGATGAGAAAGGGAAAGAGAAAATGCCGCGCGGGCTTCCTGGCAGATGCACAGAAAGGGCGCAAACAGAGAAGGTGCCTCTTCACTGCACCGTGGGCTCACGGCAGCAAGAGCAGAGGGGCAGGCAGGAGGGAAGAAATACAGATAGGAGACTCAAGCAAAACTAAAACAATCTGTAATTGTAAGAACACTGCAACTTCCAGGACGCAGGCAAGTCCCTCAGGGCTTCCACACCAGCACCCCCTGCCTAACCCAGGCCCCTTCCCTTTCAGACCATTATACCCCAATCCCTCAGGGCGCTGATGGTCCATAAATTGGCTTATGAATGTAAGTAAGGGGAACCTGATTCTAAGATAAAGGCCCAAGCTGAGAGAATCCAAAGTATGTCTCAGTTATCCATCTAAAAACAAACAAAAAAACTGGGCCATACCTGTAATCGGGCCAGTACACTTCTGTGGGTGGCCACCTTTTCCTGGGGTGTCCACCCCACAAGAAAAGCATAAATATTCGTTTTGGAAAACGAGGTACATCTCTCTCAAGGGTCTGTACTCTATTCAAGGGCATACTTTTGAATTTCTGCCTTAAAAAGCCCTGGCACGCCTCCTTCTGACCAGTTCTGAAAGGAGTCGGAAAGCCCACTCCTCTGCTCTGTGGGTCGGTGGGCTAGATTCCTCATCTCAGCCTCAGGAACACCCCGGGACCCTGTCCAGTGACAAGAGAATGAGTCACTTTCTAGCCTCTCATTTTAGTGTTTTTCTGGGCAACAATTTTCATCCTGACAGCCAACAAAACAGCCATCCCTGTAACAGGCAGGAGCGTGGTCCGGAGACCCCACCTTCTAACCCCAGAACTGGCGAGCACGCCAGACTTGGGCAGAATTACGGTGGCAGAAGAACAAAGGCTGCAAAAGGGCCAAGCCAGAGGCAGGCATGACCTAGAGCATCTGGGTGGGCCCCAAGTAACTACAAAGGGTCTCCTTAAGTAAGGGAAAGGAGAAAGTTAGTATCTGGACCAGGTGTGGGGCTACACATATTTGCTTGGGAGGCTGCTGCAGGATTACGAATTTCAGGCCAGCCTCGGCAACAGAGCAAGATCCCATCTCAAACTAAAAATAGGGCTAGGCCAGGCATGGTGGCGCACGCCTGTAATCCCAGCACTCAGGAGGCTGAAGCAGGAGGATCATTGCAAGTTTGAGACCAGTCTGGGCTAAAAGTGAGCTCAAGGCCAGCCTGTCTCAAAAAGTCCAAAATTTGATAAAGTAAAACAAAATAAAATAAATAAATAGGGCTGAGAATATAATTCAGGGCTAGAATGCTTGCCTATCATGTGCAAGGCCTGCGTTTTAGTCTCCAGCACCAAATTAAAAGGAATGTGGTAAAGCTGGGTCTAGGAGTCAAAGGGCCTCGAGCCAAGGAAGACTGCTGAGCTGGACAGACCAAGGTAACATGCTCCCCAGACCCCAAAGGATCACATCCTCACTCACACCTTCATTCTAGCTCCACAGCTAAAGATTTTGGACTTCTGACCCCAGAACAGCAAGATAATAAATCTGTGTTAAGATACCATGTTTTTGGTCATGGTACAGAAACAAAAGGAAACTAATACAACCCTACATACACCCAGCAGCCTCTCTCCTCTGTCCCTCTTTGTATGTCTTGGACTGCAGCATCCATACCACTGTCCACCCCCTGAGGGAAAAGCAAGCTGGCCAAGCAAATAGGCTTCCACCCTAAACACTCTGGCTGAGGGGCATACGAATATTCCTTTAAGACATGGCATACCAACCAACAGCTAACGTCATTCTAAATGGTCAAAAACTGAAAGCTTTCACTTTAAAATCAGGAACAAGACAAGGATGTCCACTGGCACCCCTATTCAATATAGTTCTAGAAAAATTAGCCACAGCAATTAGACTAGAGAGAGAAACAAAGAGGAATAAGGATAGGAAAGGAAGAAGTGAAATTACCATTATTCACAAAAGACATGATACTCCACATAGAAGACCCCAAAAACTTCACCAAAAGGCTTACAGATTTAATAACCAAATTTAGTAGCATAGCTGGATACAAAACACTCAAAAATCAATAGCATTCCTGTACACAAACAACAAGCAGACTGACAGAAAAATCAGTGAAACACACCTTTCATAATAGTATCTAAAAAAATGAAATACTTAGGAATCAATTTGACAAAGAAGTAAAAGATCTATACAGTGAAAATTACAATACTCTGAAAAAAGAGATCAAAGAGGATTTCAGAAAATGGAAAGATATTCCTTGCTCATGGATAGGAAGAACCAACATTGTAAAAATGGCCACACTCCCAAAACTGTTGTACAGATTAAATGTAATACCAATTAAAATACCATTAGTATACCTCACAGATTTAGAGAAAACATTCCTAAAATTCATCTGGAACCAGAAGAGGCCCAGAATAGCAAAAGCAATCCTGGACAACAAAGGAAAGGCAGGAGGCATCACAATCCCTGACTTGAAATTATACTACAAAGCTACTGTGATATAATCAGCATGGTACTGGCAAAAAAACAGACCTGAAGATCAATGGAAGAGATTAGAAGATACAGATACAACTACAAACACACTCAGTCACCTTATCTTTGACAAAGGGGTCAAACATGTTCACAGGAAGAAAGACAGTCTCTTTAATAAATGATGCTGGAAAAACTGGCTTTCCACATGCCGAAGACTAAAACTAGCCCCATGTCTTTCACCCATGCACTAAAGTAAAAATGGATCAAAGATCTAAATATCAAAACAGAAACACTAAATCTACTGGAAGAGAAAGTAGGTAAAAATCTCAAAGACATAGGGGTAGGCAGAGAGTTCATGAACAAAAACCAAACTGCATGGGAAATACTTTAAAAGAATCAACAACTAGTATCTCACCTTACTGAAAAGTTTCTGCACATCAGAACATCAAAAGAAATCACCAACAGAGTAAGAAGAAAACCCAGAATTAGGAAAAAATTTTATCCAACTGCCCTTCAGACAAAGGACTTCAATCTAGAACATATAAAGAATTAAAAAAAAATCAGGCCCCCAAAATTCAAAGACCCAGGGGCTGGGGATTTAGCTCAGCGGCAAAAGCGCCTGCCTGGCAAGTGCAAGGTCGTGAGTTTGGTTCCCGGTACTGGAGAAAAACCAAAAAAAAAAAAAAAATTCAAAGACCCAATCCACAAATGGGCATCTGAGATGAATATGCGCTTCTCAGATAAAGAAATACTAATGGTAAATAAATATATGAAAAAATGTTCAACATCATTAGTCATTTGTGAAATGCAAATTAAAACAACATTGAGATTCCATCTCACCCCAGAAAGAATGGCTATCATCCAGAAATCAACCAATGACAAATGCTTGAGAAGCTGTGCGGAAAAAGGAATACTTCTCCACTGCTGGTGGGAGTGCAGATTGGTGAAATCACTAAGTGGAAATCAGTTTGGAGATTCCTCACAAAACTAGCATTGGAAGTCCCACTTAACCCAGCTATTCCCCTTCTGGGTATTTTTCCAGAAGAATTAAAATCATCATACCACAGCAATATATGTGCACCCATGTTTATAGCAGTGCAATTTGTCATAGCTAAATCTTGGAAACAACTCAAATGCCCATCAACTGAGGAATGGATGAAAAAAGATACGGTATTTTTATACAATGGAGTATTACTTAGCTATAAAAAAAGATAAACTCGAGGCTTTTATAGGTAAATGGATGCAACTAGAGACTATACTCGTAAATGAAATAAAGAGGACACACATGTGTAAACATCATATTGTCTCCCAAGCGTAAGAATCTGAAAGAGTAAATAAAACCCAAAATGTACAATAGATAATATGAAAGGGAAAGAAACTGCTCAAAGGAACAACTGGGATGAGGGAAAGAAGAAAAAGAAACTAAGATATTTTATGTGTGTGTGTATA